ATCAACAATTGACCCACGCCTGGCCTTCACATGTGCAGTTTGTCGCGCGAAGATTGCTGAGTGACGCCAACATACCAAGGCCCGCAGCATGACCTCGAATCTATAAACAGTAAATAGTGGTTTCTGCTGATGCGTGCTTGAGAGAAGTGGGAATGGGGATGAATCCTTGAAACCGTGCAAAATCTTGACAGCAAGCAAGCAGGGTCGTTTACACAGGACGAGAAAAAGACTGCTCTGAAAGAGCTCCGCCAATTCACTTTGAGTCTTCACTACGTGAGTAGGCAAACAATAGCTGAGCTGTACAAAAGGTCATCACATCGAGGGTGGTTTGTGATTTGCACATGCAGTACATGCAGCTCCGGTCTGGCCGAATTGAGCATGTGGATACATCCGGTTAAAACAGAGTATGAGACTCTTGAGTGTTGCCGCCATAGCCGGAAAGTGCTTGCAAACAATGGCTGCATGTATGCTAGAAAACGCCCGCGCCCTGGCGGAAAAAAAACACTTGAGAAAGGAGAGGACGAAAGCCAGCGAGAGACCAATATGGTAGTGCAAGACTGGGAGGAAAAAATAGCGGAGCACTTATTGTTGAATGCCTGTAGCTTTCGTGGAACTTGTATCAACGTGGAGTAGATCAAGATCGGAGCACAGCATGAAGTGTTGAATGTTTTAGGTTTTCTCGATTTTCCTGGCGCGGTGCTCTCTAAAGCGTCCCTGTTTGGTGGTCTACTTGAGAGTCCGTGTAAAAATAAGCGTCAGTGAAGACCAGGAGAAGGATGCCCGAAAGGTGGTTTTTGGTTGTTTTCAAATGTGTTTCGGGCACCGTGCATCAATGCGAAGCCCTCTCAAAAGCAGGGGGAAAAAAAAGCAGAGCACTCATTCTTGAATGGTTGTTGTTTTCGTGGAGCTGATATTACTGCGACGTAGATGAAGATCGGAGTACAGCATGAAGTGTTGAATGTTTTTAGTATTCTTGATTTGCTTGGTGCGGCGCCTTCTGGAGCGTCCCTTGTTGGTGTTCCCTTTGAGAATCCGTGCAAAAATAGCCGTCAGTGAACATCAGGAGAATGATGCCCGAAATGGCTTTTGTGGTTGTGTTGGAATGTGTTTCGGGTATCGTGCATCAATGCGAAGCCCTATGGAGAGCAGGGCTGGGAGGAAAAAATAGCAGAGCACCTATAGTTGAAAGCTTGTAGTTTCGTGGAGCTGGTATCACTGCGACTGAGATCAAGGTCGGAGCACAGCACGAAGTGTTGAACGCTTGCAGCTTTCTTGCTTCTCCTCTTGCGGAGCTCTTATCCCCAAGCCTCTACCTCACCCAACTGGACATGCTCACATCGTTCGCTCCCAGGGCGTTCACTCTTTGTTGCTTGGTCCTTTTTGGTACAGAGCTACACAGTCCCTAAGCCCTGCTCAGGACAAGAAAAATTGTCTCCAGACCCCTTCATGATGCTGATGATGCACCTACTCGGCATCCATTGCATCACTCGCATCACCAGACCCCATTTTCACTGCTTTTCTGACCCTCGCTTTGGAGCGCTCTCCCCCACCAAGCTCCGGATTCACTCTCTCAAATGGTGCCTTTTTGCGCCCTCCCCCCCCCCCCCCCCCCCCCCCGGATCCCCCCTCTCAAATGGTGCCTTTTTCCCCCCCCCCCCCCCCCCACCCCCCCTTAACTCACTTCGTTTGCTCTAAGAGCTCAAGCCTAGCCTATCGGCTGGCTTTCGTAATTTCCCGGCTCATCGCTCAGGATTAGATGTGATAATGTTGCCTGATTAGGAAGGGATGCCCTTGGTCACAAACTCGTAAACTCTGTGACTTGGAGCAGTTGCTGACAGGGTCCCGCATCAGTTCGGCTATTAGCTCGTTAAAGACCCAAGCTAGAAGTTGCAGGCTTGAGGTTGACACCGCAGCGGACCACAGCCAGCTAGATGGAGTGCAGGGCCCGGGGGGAGAGTGCTTAATTTGCCACCACAAGTACTAATATTCTTTCTTGAGCCCGCCCTTATTAATTATATAAGTAGGCAAAACGCTCCTAGCCAGCCACTTAAGCTATTAGTATGGATGCAGGATAGCTCACGCTTCTTCAAGGAAGCTCCTCCCACCTGAGGGGGAGCTTCCTTGAAGAAGCGCTCTCGCACTAATGATTTGGTTCCTATACACGCCAACTTTATTCTAGTTTCTTCATTTCCATGTTGGAACATGTTGAGTTATGTCTAGCTCTGGAATAGGGGCAGTGAGGAACGTTTGGACCTCAGGCCTGTCTCGAAGATGCTGCGATCGCTACCTCTTGGGAGAATCAAAGCTAAGCGTCAAAGCTTTGAGGCATGGGATTGACAAAACAACAGGCCACCTGCTCCAAGCGGCTGGCGCGACATGCGTTTTCCCATCCCTGGCATTGTCCGCAAGTATATAAATCAGTTCCATATTAGCGTTATTGTATCTCTCTCTCCATCGCCTTCTCGAAGAGTTCAGCTAAGCTAAAGGCGTTATTGTACGCTATTATTAGTCTATTTTGGCTTCGATCTCACAGGCCTGCAATGCAACTAGCTTCGATGAGGTGATGTCCTGCATGGCAAGTCTGCAAAGGTGACAATCTTAATCCTAAACAAAATCCTGGCCTTTATTCGCAGCTGCTTGTGGCAAATCAGCGAAAGTGCCTAGAAGAAACTGCGAACTGCGCAAAATCTCTTTGCGTGGCAAGCATTAGGGGCCCTGTCATGATGCTTCATTGTCGATTCTCTCCTCAAGAATGCCAACATGGCCAGCATCATACCATATATTACCATCCCATGTCGCATGTCATGACTGCGGTATTGCGATGCCTCCAGGGGCTGCCTCAATGACTGCTTGGTTCTTTCTCGCCATGCCTCAGTTGTCAGCTAATCCAATCCGATACTTTAAGTCCTTTAAGTACTTTTCTCCCAAGCTGTGGGCCCGCAGCACCAGCGAGATGCCAAGCTTGCCGAATGCCTATGGAGCACATCAAGAACTGGGTGGCAACATCAACCATGAAACATGTCAGCAACCTCGTAAAAGATGTTAAAGCCTTGAAGTTTGCCCAGAACCTGAAAAGGATCCGATATGAAGGATCTTTTCAGAATAAAACGGAGAACTGAAGCCCTTGCCTTTGAAAGCCTCTCTCCTGCAGTCGACTCCGACGACACCAACCGCCATGCCTCACTGGCGCATTGGCTCGTTGTGATTGGGATGCCCACCATGTGTCCGGCAAAGCTTAAGCTGCTCTGGCTCAGACGAAAAGAATTCTTAACTGCAATGCTCTAGCCTCAGAAATCTCACGGCTCACTGCTTACCACTCTCATGTACTCAGCTACGCTCAGCTTGCCGGATCTGGTTGCTCCGAACTTCTCAGAATGACACCAAGTCGGGTGAAGAGATCTGCCCTGTGGAGCTCCTGCAGGTTGGAGACTAGCACTGCAATGCAACCACTTTATCTTTACCTTCTTTACCCTGCACCACCAGGGCAACGTCTCATCCCTTGAGTTTTATAAGAATATGTTGTTCAAGTAAGGTTCAAGGGAAGACAATAAGTGAATAACATGTGGCGTTCATCACATTATGTGTGTTATTGCAATGATGAAAGCCTCTAACAGTATTAACAATAATCTTACCATTAAGGTATGTTATGGAAAAACTAATGGTTGTCATCTTTACTATTTCATTGTGTGCAAAACGAATTAGAAGAATCCCTCACAATAAGATTAATATGTTGTCTTCTTATCCCAGTTTTTAATGGTATGTTCTTTACGTTAAAATATGGTATGGATATGATATTGTTGGCTTCCTTTTTAACTACATTCTTATTTAAAAACAATAACATTCCAAATATAATTTGAATCTGTGGCCACAATAAAACTATTAAGATATGTGGCCATACCTATAATACTATAAGAGAAGACTTAACAAGCCCCCCACAACTTGAAATCGAGAAAAAACACTCGGTGTGTGGAACATGTTGAAACCTCCACGAAGTTTCTTGTTGCATGTCTTGCATCGTTTTCCACAACAGTGTTCCAAACACAAAGTCACAACCAGAATGCGATGCAAATAATTAATGATGCCGCCGAGGCACGTGGAGTTGGTCTCTTCCTTGGCAATCCAAGCAATGGCACATGCTCAGCACAACAGCACATCTTGGCATGATTCTTCCCAAACAAGTCATAACAAGTCCCTGCCTGACAACCATCAGGCACTGCTCCGACCTTTTGGTATTCCCCACGTCGCCAAGCCAACACAAGGTTCAAAAAAACTGCTGCCAGTGCCTGGGTTTCGAAGGCCCACTGCCCTTCCTGGGGCCCTTCGGCTTCCCATGCAAGGAGAGTTCGCCTGATCTTTGGACTCGACATAGTTCATGAAAAACAGAAAACCGTTACCTTTGACCAAAGCAAAGGAGACTAAACTCAGTTCACATCATTCACCAAGATATGCCTCAACCTGCGCAGTGGCGCATCTATTTCCTCTGCATCCTCTCGAGGATGGAACACGGCAGCATTGGAATCAAGGCCATACGTTAGCCATGTGATTTCTCATTAGGCCCTTATCAGACTTGTAAGTCTTGCCATGGTAAACCGGAATCTTAGCAGTAGAGTCATCAAGTCCTGAGCAGCTGCAAGGGCCAAAGCCCTCTTCCGTGCCTTTTCCAATCTGACTCTTTGCACGCCAGCACACAACTCGCACATCACAAGCAGTTGCAGCAGGCAATTTTCAGAGCCTCGGAACTGATGTCGGTGAGGCCAACCAAAAACTGTTGTTGTCGATGTGTCTTGTTCTGCGGGCGATCCTGAGATAAACGGCAGCACCGCAAGCAAGACTTCGGCCTCACAAATGTTGACTTGGAATGACCATCTTGTAGGATCCAAGGGGCATCTACAAACGACAATGCCATGGCATGATTTGCAGCTCTGTAGCTTGTGACCAGTTCGCAAATGGTTTTCTTCGAGTCTCAACACATGCAAAGCATACACCTCCTGCGTGCTGGAAGATCTTCTGCTGCAATAATGTGTGAACCTACCCTCTTGGTACAGCCAGCGGCGGATCCAAATATCAAATTGCAGCAGCAAACAAGAAAGCCATTGAAAGCAAATATGATCTTGCTTTAGTTTGGCAAATCCCAAGCAAAGGTTTAGGGATAGAATCGGGCCTGCTGTGGTGGGGATGCAACAGCTTCAAAAAGGTAGGTAGAGGCACATCCGGGTGCAGAGTGGCACCATTATATAAGTCACTTGGAGTGGAGAGCGGGCGGAATGTTTCTCAGGGAGAAGAGCCTGTGGCAAAAAACTAGATATTACATCACAATGGCAAGCGCCGATGATACAAAAGCAAAGGTCGCAATGAAGCCAACACATGGCCTGTCAAAAAACTGCACATGCCACGATTTGAAAGGCCACCGCAGTAATCAGCAATGCCCACCAAGGTTCCACACAGGAAAGCGGGTCCAACAAACAATCTCTCATATATTCTTATATATTATTGCACATGTCAAGCATCATGTCAGGGCCATCATCCTTCTTGGAGCCTGAACCGGATGAAGGAAGGATGGTCGACGACTGATTGCTCCTCTTCAGTGGCTTGCACTTGCAGTGAAAGTCACCTTGGTGTTTTGAAAGCCTCCTGTGGTTCTGTGCCTTCGTTGTTGGAAAATAATTTGCAGCAGTCAGATGCATGTGGAACATGATGTGTTGGGGGTAGATTTGTAGATGTAGATCAGCACAGGACAAATGCGGTGGCTGAGGAAAGGGTTGGACTGTAGTGGAAGCATCTGGAAGGCAGCCTCCTTCAGAATCTAGGTCAAGCAGCACGAACAAACAAGTTGATAGATATGTATTATATATATACATATAGTATATTTATTATTATACAATCAAATATGCAGGCAGGATGCACAAACATATTGAAGAAACATTGCGCTCGTCCAAAAGGAGGTTCTACCCCAAGGGGACCACAATGGAAAGTTGTCCAAAGCGCACTCTTTGCGAAACGCACTCGTTCACACCGCAATTGAACGTTTGGAGAGCTACCCTCAGTGAGGCTTAACCTTATGTGACAGGGAGGCTATGTCGCTGCGCAAAGGAGCTGCCGGGTAGGCTGCAGGAGGTGTTCTCAACCTCTCATGAGATTACTGATCAAATCGGTTTGAGTTGAGTGGCCCCTTTCCGAGGCCACTGCCAGTTACCAAATGAGAAAGCCTGAGAAGGAATGAAGCGATGAAATCATCTGATAAGACAGTCTTGCAGTGCAAAAAGCTGAAACATACATAATCATGATCATATTGAACATAAGGCCTAGTACAGTAAGCTCCATATCCAGTACATATCACATCATTGAGCCGTCCTCTTTCCGCATATTACTGAGCATTGGCCCTCCAGTGCTGCGAAACGGTGCTGCACCCCTTCCACAACCTGCCGTTTAGGTTGGCAAATTCTCCAAGTCGCTGTATTCTGCACGGTTGTTTCCTTTGCTTGGTGTCCTTACTATCCTCCACCAAAACTCTGGACATGCTATCGCTGCTGCTGCTGGAGGTCCAGGTTGTCTAGTGAGCCACAACTACTTGTACTTATTATACGTAAGCGTTGCAAGAGCTTCTGGAAGCTTGTGGGCCAAAAGCGTGCAAACGTGTAACGTTGAAATTTGGAGCTACAAGATCTGAATCTTGTATTTCAGGCTGCCACTTGTGAGCGCGCAGCATCCTGCCAAGATGACAGTAAGCAAACCGCCATGAGTTACACAACAAAGGCAGGCCATTCCTTTCGAATGCCACAAAAAGCTAAGCAGCTGAAACAGTTCCCTTCACCATTCGCAGTGCCATGCAACTGCAATTCCCAGTTCCTTCTCTTGCAGGTTGGAGGGGAGGAGTGCAGCCTTCAAGAGCTGCCACTCTGCACTCTGCGTCGGAGTTGCACATTGCTGTCATGAAAGTTCGGCGCTGGGTGGTCGGCTTCAAATTTGGCACGCTCACGTAAACGTGACACGCATCTTTCCTGCAATCCGAATGACCAACACGGGCTTTTGGTGGAACACTCCTACACATCACTGACGTTATTCCGCTTCCGCCCTGCCCGCACAAAAGTCCTCGCACTCCCGGCACTGCTCCACAAAGGTTTGCAATTGGTTTGCCACTGGAGGCAGTGGCCGTCTTCTGCCTGAGCAGTTGTCATGTCACCACAAGTTGATCACCCTTCACGTTTTCACGTTGCACCCCGCCTGCTGCAGCAATTGAGGCATGCAGCTCCTTCGAAAAAGAGTCTGTGGGCTCTGGGGGGGCCATGATGGTCAAAGCCATGTTCCCTCTTTTCCTGACCTTGACACTCTTTGGCCTCATGGCTTCCATAATGTCCTTGGCTATGCGCGAACGAAAAAGAGTACGGCATTTGTTTTGCTTTCCCAACTTGCCGCCCAGGGCACGCCACTCTTCGCCATGACTCTGCGATCTGAATGAATAGGTGATATATATATATACATATGTTTACATATACAGTATATATATATATATGGGCGTGCGTGTGTAACCCTTGGACTCACAGGGAACCTTTCGGTTTGGAGCGGGGAGCGGTGGGCATTCTTGAAGTCACCGCTCAACGAAGACACTTCAAGTTTGCTGTGATATGCAACCTGGACGCAGATTGCACGTACCTGCGCGAAGATGATCACCACTCATTTCCTTTCGAGAATTCTGGCCATCGCACCTCGGCAGTCACGCACTTGTTTTGAACTTGACGTTTGAGTTTGGAGGTTTGCAGGTTCTCGTCGCTTTGAGGGAAGTCACTTGGTGGTGTTTGCACCTGGCACCTTAGGGGGGTTTTACTTAGGCTGGCGTGTGGCAACCGCTTTCAAGTCAGTACACATTTCTCTGAGTGTGTCTCTCCTAGTGAGAGCCCAGGGTGACCCCGCAGAGTGGCCCCTGTGGACCCATCGAACGGGTGTTAGTCCATTGTTCCCCCTGCCCGGGAACGTAGGTGTCCGAAGCGGACAACGGAGGCTTATGCCAAAGTTATTTGCCAAGACTTGACGAAGTATTGAATTCCAAGCTGGCTTCTGCCTTCACGTGACCATAGCGGTCAAAGCTGCCAGCCATTTTGGCACGGCGTACGTGGCCGCAGCGGCCGAAGCTTGTTCAAGACTCGTTGGACTCTGTCGCAACCTTGGCCCCTTCCTCCTCCCCTCCCTTCCTCTCTCCCTTCTTTATCATCTTGGTGTGTTCCTGAATGTAATGCTCAGGTACACCCCCCCTCTCTCTCTCACTGGTGTGTCCCTGGACGCTTGTTCGTAGCTGGGAACACCTGCCCTTCTCCTTCCTCTTTTTCCCTCTCTCTCTCTCTCTCTTTCCTTTCTTCACCTTCCTTCTTCCTTGGGTGTCCCTGGATGCTTTCGTCGTAGCTGGGAGCCCTTCCTTTTTGGTGTGTCCTTGGACGCTTGTGTCGTAGCTGGGAGCACCTTTCTTCCTTTTTTCTCCTTCTCTTTTCTTCCTCCCTTCCCTCCCCTTCCTTTCTCGCGCGCGGCGTGCCTACAAACAAACAAGGCTTCTGCAATAGGTTTCTCAATGAGGTTTGGGTTTGTCATCGGTTTGTCCCCTTTCTTTTGGTTCCCCTTTCATTGGCCCCCACAAGCGTCTTCCTTTCTTTTCGTTCATGTCTTTCTGTCTTCATGTCTCTTCATCCTCATCCTTCCTTCTCTTGCGCGCACTTTCGTCCGGACCTTAGCTTGTACACATACACGCACGCGTATTCTACTTACAACTAGGTTCAGGTGGCCCAGGTTTGTTACAATGAGGTTTGGCTCATCGGTTGCCCCTCTTCACTTGATTCTTCTTCATCGGCAATCACACACACTTTTTGTCTGTCTCGTCCTTTTCCTTTTCATCTGTCTCGTTTGCGTGCACATGTGCCTCGCGTAACCCCTTTTCCGGGCAGGATGGGGGCGCCTCCTTTCAGGGCAGGCACACGCCTCCCTTCGGGGAGGCGTGCGTGTGTAACCCTTCGACTCACAGGGAACCTTTCGGTTTGGAGCAGGGGAGCGGTGGGCATTCTTGAAGTCACCGCTCAACGAAGACATTTCAAGTTTGCTGTGATATGCAACCTGGACGCAGATTGCACGTACCTGCGCGAAGATGATCACCACTCATTTCCTTTTGAGAATTCTGGCCATCGTACCTCGGCAGTCACGCACTTGTTTTGAACTTGACGTTTGAGTTTGGAGGTTTGCAGGTTCTCGTCGCTTTGAGGGAAGTCACTTGGTGGTGTTTGCACCTGGCACCTCAGGCGGTTTTTACTTAGGCTGGCGTGCGGCAACCGCTTTCAAGTCAGTACACATTTCTATGAGTGTGTACATTTGCATCATGTATCATATACGTGTATGTATGTATATGAATTACATACATATATGTATGTGTACAATATAGTTGTGAATCTCTGACCGTGTTCTTCGTGGTTTGCAGTAGTGTGCTTCAGTCATCGTCGCAAAATTGTTTCGCATGGTGCTTCTCAATCTTGCGGTAATCTTGCTGTTGTCGTGGTCCCTGGCTTAAGTCCTGACCTGCACCTGTCATGACAGTCTTTGCAGCTTCTTAATTAATTGCACCTGGCTCTTCATATATATATATATATTTATATACATACATACTATATATGAAGCTTCAACGTGCACCACCAAGCTGCGTTCGACACTGGATCTATTGCTGTGGATTCATGCCCTTTGCTGACACAAGTCTTGTAAACTCTTTTCCGCCGTTGGCAAAGCGACTAGTGGACTCACAATTGTCCATCTGAAAGCTTGGGATTCTGCCGCTTGATTAAACAGAACTGTCATTCAATGGCAGTTTTTGCATGTTTCAACCCCGTGCTTCTGGAGGGTTTCGCAGAATCATCTGCAATTTTGGGTCTGCTTCTTTGGAAGCAGGCCTGCCGCATGACTTGACACGATGTGTAGGAGGCCGTCCGAGACTGTACAAGGGCTCTTGCGACTGGGCCGTCCAAATGACATTCGTGGACACACAACCAAACTACTTCAGTGGAACTGCTAGAGTCTGCTAGAGGTGGCTGAACAGCGTTTGCAAACCGTTCGATATGTTGATAGCTGCCAGCGGCAAGTTGTGTTCATACATTCCTAACAAAAGAGGTCTCCGCAACTGCAAAAGGTCATGACTCCGCCCATGCTGCTGGGACCTGTGCGCCTCTTTGCACAAGTATAGAACAAATATTTGAGTTACTGCATGGAAGATCGTGCTGCTATTCACTCCTCCCGCTTCCCTGCTCTTACGCTGACAGTGTCTGGCCTGCCACTGCAACACGCTGTTTAACACGTTTGCACTTGTTTGAACACACCTGGGTGTGAAGGAATCGCCTGAGCCTTGAAATGGCTGGAACTGCTGTGGCCGTTGCCTTGGACCAAGTCCGTTTCTATCATTGTTTTGTAGCGATGGGCGCAACATGAAAAGTGAGATGAAGTGAGCAGGTTACGTGTTCCTTTGACATTGCAGCTTCAAGGTCCCGACCCAGCTTGTCCTACATCACAAGGATTGACTGTGCATCCGAACATGGCAGGTCCATACACTACATGGACGCCAGCATAGGCAATGTCATAATATTTCACAACGGTCCGAAGATCTGGGCAAAAACTTGAGCTCAGCTTTCATTAACAAATTCATTAGATATATATAAATATATACAGAGTAAGCAACACCTCTTTTCTTATTCGCTCTGCAGCTGAGTTGTCACAAAATTCAAATAATTGGGAACAAAAAAGAACTCCCACAAGTCGAAGAGATTGTCCCCCCCTTCTTGGTCCACAACACAGAGAAGGGGGGCTCCCGGACAATCGTACCCCCCTGACCAGGTGGGCCACACCCCAAACCCTGGCCAGGTCCTGAGGGACACCAGCAGTTTTTCTTTCTCTCTCTGCTGGCTTTTTTAAAAATCTTTCTCTTTCTTCCAAAATCTTCCTCTTTCTTCCAAGCCTCGCTTTGACGAGGACGGCCTGTTGCTTTGCAACGGCTCAAGCGTTTCAAAAAATTTTGGTGGTTTAACTCGAAAAAAAGGTCCGAAAGGTGCCAATGTTATCAGTAAAGTCCTAAAGTCCTCTCGGCCAAAAAGGCCTGTCGGCCACCGCCCCACGAACCATGACCCGATCTAGATGTCTGCGTTGGCAGAACCGCCGTGTGGCTCCTCCTTGCCGTAAATGGTAGGGCCTGAGTTCCAAAGGTTGTCACTTAAGGCTCTCAATGCATGCTTTAAACAATTTCCGCCAACGAGGTGGCGAGAGACAAAGTCTCTTAAGCTGACGCAAGCTGTGTCCAAGGCTGTACAAGGCGGTGAGGGGTGTCCTGCCCTATGTAAAAACCTGTCCTGATCTGCAGGCTCGGTGCTCGGTCGTTTTCAGACCAAGGGCTTTAACAGTGGTACGGAGCTCTACAAAAACCTCGACTCCGCTTTGGACAATATCGACTCGGCTTCGGCCTATGTCCACCAAATCACTTGTGTGTATAACGCCGCAAAACATGCTAATAGGCTAGTGGCAAAGGTAAAATGTCCATGATTTAGGCTCTATTCGACCATATTCTGCAGGACCAAATCAGGGTAGCGGCGCCCACCTTGGCAAATTGTGGATAACCCACGTCTTAGCGACCTTTCAAACTCCAGGGAAGCGTCCCCGCAGGTAGTCCTGCAAAGATACCAGGGCGCCAGCGGCCAAACCACGCCTCTCCCCCGAGAGCCACAAGTGACAAGTGTTGATGTATTCCAAAACGAGCGGACCTAGATGCTCTTGACGGCTCGGGAGCTCCAGGCCCTCGGCCTTCAGGAAAACTATATGAACCTATTCAGCGCCGTCTCTTAGCAAGCTCGAGTCGCCAGCGGCCCAATCACCTGCTTTAGACTACCTCATTGAGGGTGATGCGAAGGCGATGGTGTCCTCGAATTTCCTCCGGCGTGCTGCTCAGCATCAGGCCCTTTAGTGGAGACCCAGTGTTCCAATTGCTCGAATTGGTTTAACAACCATGCTACCAAGGGCACTGACCATGCTTTCCAAACGCTCGAATGGGTTTAAGAACCATGCTACCAAGGGTACCAAGGAAGATTAGCCGACAGTCCGGAACGAGTGAATAGGTTCGAAACCCCTTTGAACCACTCGGCCTGGATACTATATTCCCAGGGCAAATCCCCGTCCAATTTCAGGTGGTGGCCCTGTACGGTAATGAGTTGCCGCGTCATCCAATTCAATCGTGAGCGGGTATTCCAACTCCGCCATCCCGCGTCCTATACTCAGGGCGTCTCCCCGAACGAGATGATGATCTTGTCCACCTTGCCCATCGATGCTACCCTTTTCTTCAAGGTCTGCACTTGTGCCCATGGAAAATTCCTCTGTACCAAAGCTTGTAGGCGTTTGACACGCGTGAAAAGAGAAAACCCCTCTTCGCCTCGAGCTCCTTTGCGCTGGCTGGCGACTCCTGAAACACCTTGACAGGGCTGACCTGCCCCGAGCATCACCATCTCGACCTGCCCAAACATGAGGGCGCAACTTTCAACGTCTGAGTCCTCAACCTTCACGATGTCCGGGCGGTGGATGGCCCCTGGGAAAAGGTGCTCCACCACCCGCCTAACACAAAGACCCTTCTCGATTGAGATATGCCCCGTTACATCATGCCCCGAAGGCTCCAGGGCTACACGCAAGCATCCAAAGACACTAAAAGGTCCAATACTCAGAACGCAGTCACCTCGGTTTCCTCGCATCCCACTCGAGCGGCTTCGGTTAGCGATTAGTTCCCCAATTATGGTCAGCCTTTCTGCCCTATACACCCCTCCTTCATATTGAGAGGCGTCTCCTCAAGCGACAGGGGGATGCAGCGGCAGTCGAAAGCTCGTTCGGCATATAGGAATGCGACAAAGGCAAAGGAAGACCCCATGCTTGACCCGTTTGGGTATAGTCAGACGATGGTGGCCCTTCACGTTTGAAAACCTTTGATGAGCGCCCCACACATATTCAAAACCATCCCGAACCTGCCGCCGGAAAGTTGAGAAATAACTCAAATCTCGAGACACTACCCGCATTTGGCGCTGCGACGAATGGATCTCCTGCATCCGCAGGGGGGGTGATCGTCAAAAACTTGGAAAGTTTTCGGCCCCTTAAGGTATACGCAACACCCCACAAACCATCGATGACTACCGCCTCTACTTCGCTCCCTGTCCGCCTGCTCACCCCTTTGCCTGGATGTCGTGGGAGCCCTCGGTCTAGGTACTCCTCCCTTAAAGCTTCAACCTCAGGGGCAACAGCCCCCCGTTTCCACCCACGGGGTCTCCCGCAGATATTTTTCCAGGGGGTCATAGTCGTTGAGGTAGATTCGGCCTTCTGGCCGGACCTTGTCCTTGTGAATCTCGCACCCCTTCACGTGCTGTGACGCTGAGATCGTACGGTCAATAGGTGGTGCACATTTTGAGCAAATCCGATGCACCCCTTACAATGGCACCAGACTCCCTAAAAGGTTCCAAGGTACCTGGTGGCTTCAGGAAGGAGAGAAACAACTCAGGGCAGTGTTTGCCACCCTGTTCACAAATTCCACCAACCGACCAACCCCTATGCCAGAAAGAATTTCTCCCTAGCGAAAAACCTAAGGCGGTCATCCCTCAACTCCCTACTAAACCCCAGTCCGGGCTCGAAAGAAATCTCCCCAGACAAAACTCCCCGTTACCTTCCCAGACGTCCCTGAGCCTAGCCACTTCATTTGCCAGACCCGATTGGGTCCAGGCCTGCATCTTGGAAATCTCGGGCAATCCATTTACTCGATGTCGTTCCTGACAAGTCGACGTTTAGCACCCCCAAAAATAAATTCAAGGCCATGCGAAAAACTCCTAACCAATCAACCCTCCACAATCCAGTTGCTCGATGTCGTTCCTGCCAAGTCGACGTTTGGCACCCCGAAACATGGATTCAATAGGCCATGCAAAAAGCTCCTAACCATTCAACCGTCCATTCAAGAACGTCGGGCAAGATGGGCAGCAAGCTATCGCGAAGGGTTGGAAGGGGAAACGTGTTCGTTTGCCTCGTTTGAATCACTGTTGAAGCCTCCCCTCCCGTGGGCTGGCTGCAGAGCGGTAAAACCCCCCGCAATCCTTCAACTAAACTGCTCCCCATCCCTCACAGCTGCAATCCATGCACTCCTTTTATCGAACCCTCCAGGTCCGAGGGGTTGAACCCCGTCTGTACCAGGGATGCTCTCAGCTCCGGCGCTGCTTTGTCTCGTGCCTCAGCCGGCGATATCCCTTTGAAAAAACGACGAGAGCTTAGGGCGGAAACTGCTCCTCTGCCCCAACATCTTCTAGGGTCAAATGCCCCGAAATCGTAGTGTCCTCGTGTGGCTTTGCAGCCCCCATTGCAACCGGCGTCAGCTCCTTGAAAATAGCGCCACCAGCTGTCATATTCATCTTCATACCATCCCTAGGGCCTTCACCCCGATCCTATACCTGCAAATCAGGGCCAACCAGCCCCGCCACCATGGCACTTCTGTTCGTCTCCAGCCTCCTCAGCTCCACAGGGATCAAAAGCCCCGCATCCACGAGGTGTAGATCTTCGCTGCCTCACTGACTCCTCTTCTGGCTGCCTAGTCCTTCTTCGGCTTCTCTTTACCTTTCTTTCCTTTGCCTTTTCCCTTGTCTGGGCGATCCCCTTGACTCGCGTCTTTGCCGGCGCCCTTGGTCCACCACGCTCCGCTCTGGTGAGCTTGTGCCTCCGCCCGCTGCTCTGTAGTCGCGATGCGGAGTTCTTGCCTCGACGAAAGCGTTGCCGTCGCTCGGAAGGAGTTCTAATCGTTGAGCAGATGTCCAAGCAAGGCCACTGATCTGCGCTTCTAACGACTTCACTCGTTGTATGAGCGTGTCCATGGCCTCGGGGAGCTGTCCACGGAGAACCAAGTCACCCACTGTGCACAGTGTATGCAGTTCTCTGCTCATTGGTCCTGAGACCTTGCGACTGAGCATCTGTCGATAATATTTCAGAAGCGTAGGTACCCAGCCTTCTTGCTGACTTGATTCCTGTCCTGCTTCCGAAAGCATCAACTCCTGCATATTCTCGATGGCCTGGGCCGATATAAAGCCACAGCCCTGACACGCTGTGGCTCCCCGAAAATGGTCTGTCCCCTGAGGGCTGTACCATCCTCGCTTGAACTGCCCTTGCTCGCGGCCTTTTTGCCCTGAGATCTCTGAGCATATCTCTGAGCCTTTCGTCGCTGGCGGTTGCGAGCCTTCTTCTGGGGATCGAGACCACTTCCCCCGAACATCACCTTCTGTTCGACGGCCTTGTACTTGACCTCCGAGCTTGTAGTCGAAGATCTGGATGTGCTCGAGGAACTCCTGGCTCGCTTCCTCTTCTTTCCCTTTTTCTTTTTCTTCTCCTTCTCCTTTGCCTCCTTTTTCTCTCCTTTTTCTTTTTCTCCCACTTCGTGATCTCCTCGGGCTGGGGCTGCGACCTCTTCCATGCGACTCCTCAAGCCTGCTAGTTCGTCCCCTTCGCGTCTCCCTGCACTGATGAGGACATCTCGCCAAGGCTGTCCTCGAAGATCCTTCAGGGTGCGTATACCCCGATGTCGCCCGCAGTGAAGCACTCCCGGACCTTCGGCATCCCGTCCACAGTCTGGCATGCATATGTGAACTCTGGCATAACCCGTAGTGCCGCTTGCCCAGGTCAATAGGGCCTCCAGGTCCGTGCCAAAGAGCTTCACCATGTAGTACTTTCCCGACAAGTCCTTCCATTCTTCTATGACCTTGCCAGAAAATTGGCATGGGGTCCCAAAGTAGGTCGCCTCCTCTCCATGGATGAGGTCCCCAACGTTTAGATCTTCCCTCGGGGCAGGGATCACGCCCCGGACCCCGTGATCCAGAGCTGCTGGCCGCCTCAACAAACCTGGGCGTCGGGGCCCAATCGCTGGCCTTCGAATCACCTTTGGTGCCATCTCTTCCCTTTCCCTTTTCCTTTGCCTTTTCCACGGCTTGCGCCGCTGTTGTAGTATGTCTGGCCTCTGATGACGTATTTGAGTCCCTTCCACTTCTTTGGCTTCTGCTCCTCCTGACGGCGGTGGCCTGGCGGTGAATAGGGTGGTGAGCGAGGTCTGCGGGGCAAAGGCTTCCGGGCCGATGGCTTTGCAGTTCGCTTGAGCTCAAACTTCTTGTCACTCTCAACGTCGTCACGTACTTCTTCTGTTGATTGGGCATCGCCCTCACTCAAAACCTCTTCTTCCTCCTCCTCAACTTTTGAAGAAGGCCTTGGCTCGTCTTCCTCGTCCTCCTCGGTGGCAGTGGCTACAGGGACTGGGCTCCCCGGTGCTGCGTCCTTGTCTTTCCTCCGTGACCTGTGTCTAGACCGTGACCTTCGGCTTTTGCTCCCTGTCCTCCGGCGTCGACGGGACCGATCCCTTTCAATGAGCCTCTCTCCTTTGCGTCGATCAAGGGCTCCTTCCCCGACTCTGTATCACGCTCCTCTTTCACTGAGACTTTTGCTGACGAAGCCTGCTGGTCCTTGGGGCCTGGATGGATACCTTGATCAAAAGTAGTTCCACCTGCTGCAGCGCCAGAAACTTTATCTAGAGCTCCAGGGATGGGTTCCCCGAATTCGTTGACGAAGCCAGCTGTACGGTCAGACTCAAGTTTTTCGCAGGCAGTTTCCAAGGTTGTAGTGACCTTCTTCAGGTAGTCCACCAAATCGTTGGCAGCGTGCGGAGGACACCGGGTGAATACGAGCCGCTCTACTCGTACCACCAAATAACAAGGGTCACAGAACCCCGACGACCCTACCGGCTTACGAAGGCGTGAGTTGCACCCTTTGCAGGTGCTCATCTACCCTCAACAGCCGAAACACTACGGAATAAGAGAATCGAGGTGCGTTACACTTTACTCCCGGGGGCGGGTAACCATATATTACTTTCATACCATTGGACATCATTGGACCATTTCCACAATTTTGCCCGAGCCTCCGCCATTTCTCCCACCATTTCCTGAGAGCAAGCTCTTGAGACAAAGCATTCGCTGGTCGATGAGTTGCACATTGCGCCGTTGTGGCCTTGGCCACCTTGGCCGCCTTGGCCGCCTTGGCCACCAAATCCACCCTGTGGCGCCATCATGAGCTGCTGAGCCAAAGGCCCCTCCAAAGATCATCAAAACGATAAAAAAATAATCAAGCCAAACTCTCCAATGCAAGTGTTTTACAATGGTGGTGGATGACTTGCTTATTTGATGATCTTGATGTTCACCGACGTGATGTCCGTGTCCTGCCTGATTCTGGTTTGGATCCTGTCCATCCGCGAGGCTCAGCCTTGCCCCGTGAGAGGCTGCAAGCAGCTCCAGCATCGCTTGTCATAAGGTTCCGGCTCCATGCTAGCTTTGAACATCTTGTATCCCAGGCGAGACCTCAAAGCTTCTTCGTGCCCTCACCCATCTATCACAACATAACCAAACGAGAACCCAAGTGCCGCGCGCTACAATGTCCAAAACGGCTCCCAAAAGCAGCATCACCTCAACACTCTACCAGCTGCAAGGTTTAATGCATTCACTTTATATAGTACTTAAATGACTTAACATCTAGCGTGTTCACGTGCGACTCCTGTGACTTATGTGGAGTCTCCACCAGAATCAGCACCCTGAGGCTCAGTGCATTTCTCACCACCTCAGTGCTAGGAATTGAGGGCAAGGAGTTATTGGCTGATTAAGCAAGGCTACCCAAACAGCGCTGCATAAATCTCTTGGAATCTTAACCTGGATGGACCGAGATGAAAGATGTTGTCCATGACTCAAGATTCTAATAGCTTCTTGTTGCTATTAGTAAGGCACTTGTTACTAGTAGCGATGCACTTGTTTCTACTACGTAGCTTCTTGTTTAGAGTACCATGCACATGCAAAACAAACCACGCATCAAACGGTTGTCAGGCAGAATGCCGGTCCGCCTGGGTGTCTTTTGGCACAGTGTATGCAGCGGTGCCGTTGACCGCAGCATCCGTAAGATAGACTGTGGCGTTCTTCGGAAGAATGTAGTCTACCTGGCGTGGCTGGAACATGAGACTTGCAGGCAAAAGCCTTCTCTGAGGCGTGGGCAGGTTCCGGGCAATGACTAGAAAATATGTGGCCAGCTCCCGGATATGGAGCGGAGAGGAGGGCGATGACATTGACAAGGTCAAACAACCTCAACACATCGATGCAATATCCTTGGAGTAAAGCGCAATGCGCCACGAAAGCACTGGTCTGAGAGCTTGGCACAGATAGTATGCCAAATAGAAAGAACGGCGCAATACAGGTCATCATGCACCTGAAGTAAAGGACAGTCTCTTATCCGACACGCACGAAGACGGCCCCAAGTATCAAAATCAGAGAGGTGCGGCTCAAACCAATGCTAAACCGGTTGACGATGTGTCTTCCATTCAACCTTTTTGTGTTCCCTTTTTTTAATATAGTTCACTCGGTTTTATGTGTTTTTCGTCGCATCCGAGTATTTGAGGCAAGTGACTGATCAGCTCTTGAGGCCATCGAGGCGACCATAATCAACATGATCATCTGGAGATGCTCAAGGGGCAAAGGGACCAAAGCAAATCTTAAAATGCTGCTTTTGTTGCAACTGGACTACAACAAGCAATGTTCACAAGTTGCTTTTCACTGAGGCACTGACATAGTTGAACGACAGGCTCACTTGACCAATAGAAAGGGTGGTCACCACGATGGCTGCATAGCCAACCTGGGCCGATGACCAAGCCTCCCATTCTAATTTGAGATACAGTATGCTGTGTGCATCCGTATGTGCATATCTTTCTGAGCAGGACGCTACCAGCAAGTACAGGAAGTTTTTGTACCTGAAATCATGCATGTGTAGTGTTCTTGGTGACTTGAGCTGCTGAGACCCATGCCGGAGCAGCTCAGGAGGAGGGCTCCCAGTTGAACCTCGAAACCCAACATGACAAGGTATATAATGAAGATTCATGATTGATGAAGAGGTGAGCACAAGCACTTATGCCGTGGATAAATCGAGCCAACACCACCACCACCACCACCACCACCACCACTTTGACAAATGCCTTCGCGCTGCTCCTGGATCCAGCTCAAGGTGCCGTGCTACGCAGCATGGGTCCAAGCAAAATGCGTCGGCTTTTCTTTCAGCGCTGCGGTGGCGGAATGGCACGGTATCCCCCGCTGGACAGCAAAGGCTGCGGAGCATCCGCGGGCAACAATCCGGGCATCCCCGGTAGCAACTGGTCAGTATGTTCTTTGTACTCCTCCAAGCCTTCCAAAGGCCGAATGAGCTCAAACTTCGCAACCAGCAAAACTGGCCTGCGATGAGGCTCAGGGTCAAATGGCTGCACATTTGTCACGTGATATCCAAGGTCCCTCAAGCATACGGCATCTGCATGGAAAGCCTCTGGGTCCACACATACATAAACAATTGCCCTGGCGGCTGTAGAACGTAGCCAACTGTGGAAGAAGCTTGGAGTACCTCTTCCCTTTTTACGATTCCGAGGCTGACAAACCAATATAACATCAGGAGGGGGAAGAGTTGGAGCAGGTTTATCGGTTCCAGCCTGAGTCAGCCTCGTGTCGCCGTCCTTCAGTTGAACTTCCATGCTTTCGCTCTGGTCACCAGCAGACTTGTGCTCAAACCAAGGGCTTCTAGCATTTGAGCGCTTCTTTGCCCAGCCATCATCAATTTCCATTTCTATTTCCACATCAGAATCATCTTCAACCTCCCAAGGGCCCTCGGCCTTTTCATCTTCATCATCCGATCGCCCAAAAGCTTCAGCAACCTTGGCATCCGTGTCATCCATCTCTTCATCGGAGTCTTCGCTCCGCGTTCTCTTTGCGAAGCGCTTTTCTCTTGAACCCTGGTGTACAGCGCCCTCATGCCGCCAAAAATGTTTGGATTTGATCCTGTACGTGCTCTCATGCGCAACCTGAAAGGGGTCCTTGGCATCCTCATCTCCTTCCTCTGGGCCAGCTGTGTCTCCCACAAGGGCCTTGTATGCTCTCGTGAGTGCTTGGAAACGATCTGATGCTTCTGGATCATCTGGGTTTTTGTCTGGATGGTATTTCAGTGCCAACCTACGATACAAGCGTTTCAAGCGATTCTCCATCTCTGGAGGCACTTCCCGGTTCTTTTCTGCGTCTTGCGCGTCCTGCCTTTGAACGGGCACCGGCAACGTTGTCAAGTTTGGGCGAAAGTCTCGCACGAAGGCTGGCAAAAGGGCTCGAAGTTCTTGATTTGCAAGGGCATCAGCTCGGAGAAGTGGAGCATTGAAAGGTGCCGCTGTCAATCTCTGCATTAGGCGCCTTCGACTTTCGCCTGGCACAAAGCACGTTAAAGCATACTCACGTGCTTTGTCTTGTTCCATTCCGGTTCCCAGAAGAAGTCGCTTCTGTTGCGACTGTGATATGTGAAAGGACAGCTGCTTTAGAGTAAATGGGCTTCGCAAATTGCACAACACAGCCGTGGTGTTGGTGACTTCATTGACTGCAAGATTTCGCTTCAAACTGCCAACCTCGGTTGCTGATGTACCAATAGCCACCACATGTTGGCATAAACGCCCCAGTGCCAAACTCAGCTCACCCCCACCGCAAAAACAATGCCACAGAACATCTGTCTCACTCAGACCACACATCTCCACGATTGTTTTGGAAATTTCACCCAACAAACCTGCGTGTGCTGCAAGGCGCGAGCCGGCGCCCATTTGAAGAATGAAGTTGTGCATCTCGTTGCCCAAGCGGACATCAAAAGCTTGATGCACATACCGACGCCCATACAGCAAGTATTCGCGTCTACCACCCATGATTGTGCGTTGAGATCTGGCCATGTTGGCCACGATGCCCACCAAACTGCTGGGAGCAGCCTCGACAATAGCATCCGCCAGGGGCTGCAGAACACCAGGCACATCAACGTCGTTTCCCAGGACAATGTTCATAAGAACTTCAGTTCTGCGCTGTCCACGTTTTGTGCGTCCTCTTCTTCCTTCTTCTACCCCATCCACCTCATCTCTTCGATCATCTTGATAGGCTTGATATGGTCTTGATTTTCGGCCTGTGAGGGCCACTACACTTCTGAAGGCGCCCCAGCTCTTGACGTCATCAAAAATGCTGTAGGTTTTGGGGCGCAGCTCGCGCAGCTGCATGAACACTTCCACGAAAATACTTAAGCTCCGAATGGCTGCTCGAGGTGCCAACACACACCCAAAAAGCGGCTCGCCGTGTGGTCGCTGTTCGGGGGCACCCGTTGGACCGATCAGAACGTCTCTGTCGTCTTGTCGCAGCATCCACTCGATACGGAGAGAGTATCGATGCTGTGGTGTGGAAGGTCTGATTCTTTTCAACGTCCTGAGGGATACCTTCCCTTTGTTCAGGGCCTGCTCTATCCACCTCTGCTTCTCGATGAGTTGGCGTCCATATTTCAAGTCAAGGAAATCACAACCTCCACAGGACCCATAGTGAGGGCACATCGGGGTGGTTTCGTAAACGCTAGCACGCACTCTTTGGACATGGGGATTGACATAAATGTCCATGTCTCCTGGTGGCCAGCGCTTTTGGGTAACTTTTCCGAATCCAACTGTAACAACTTCGCCTGGCAAACCTCGTGGAATAAGAAACTCCTTTGTTAAGACATGACCTCTGCTAAGCCAGCGAAATTTAACAATCCCTCCGCCGTCTTTCTGGCATAGACTCACAATCATCACATCTTGTGGCCAATCCGTTCTTGGAGGCCCTATTCGGAGTGGGACTGCCTCACGGATACGGTCAGGAGCCCTTTTCGGCTGGCTCGCTGGACTAGGTTTGCACCATCTCTCCAATGCAAAGAAACGCTTCCACCGAAGGAAACGCCAAGGCGAAGCTGCATATGCATGGCATTGCATGGCATTGCCCTGCTTCCTCACCGGACATTCTCCATGTATTCTACAACACTAAGTCTCTGAGTGCTCTCTACTTGCTGCTTTGGTCGTAATGCTCGGCCGCTCTTGTGTTGCTGACATTGTTTCTTTTCGGCACTGTATTTGAAGAAAAGGCGCTGGCTGGCTGAAACCAAACGTATCACAAAACACCGGAGCTGGGCTGGAGGGAGAACGAGCACGAGAAGTGCAAAAGGCTTGAGCAAGCCGTCACACATCGTCCAACCATCAGCTGCACGAGCCTGGTCCAAGACCGCCTAAAGGAATCATCCCAATGGCCTGAGCCGTAGCAAACGTAAAGCAGCCCACTTGCACCCATAGTTAAGGTACTCCAACATTATCATTCCACAAGCAAAATTGCTGCAAAACGTGTCGCGCCGATGGATTTGTCCATTGTTTCGCGTGCTACTGAGACGCTTGGTTGGTCCTATCTTGGCTCTCTTTCATGGCTGGATGGACTTGGTTCGTTGGAGTTTATACATAGCCGGCTGGGCCTTCCCGTACTGCATCTCACCTGTCTACATACAATGCGACCGTACAAGTCTGGCACTAACAAAAACTTTCACAGGGGGTGTGGTATCAACTCGGGGTGATCAGTCCAGGGAATTCCATTGGCCCATGGCATTTCTCCGGAAGGCTGGCGCAACTCAAGGTCGGTTGGCAAATCGGTAGACATGGCGCCTGTTGTAGAGGCGGTTGACGCGTGTACTGGCCAAAGGCGGGTTGCCTCTGTGGTTGGTAATAGCAATTCGGTTCCCCGTGCAATCAACCCGAAGCCAGGCCTTTAATCTGTAGAATTGTAGAACGCATCAAAAATGAAATGCTTGCATAGAGGAGGTTTTCTCAACTTTTCTCTTGCTGCTAAAATGGTAGACTCAATACAATGCTGGGTGGTATCAGAGAGCACGCGCGTCTAGGTTGCAGAGTGAGACCCTCTGGCGAACAACTTTATGCAACTTCTTCGGTCTTTGCGTTTGTCGAGCTTGTGACTGCTTGTGATTCTGGAGCTTCAACTATGGGGATTTCAGACTTGAACTAACTGTTCCCAGGTCTACGCATTTTAAAGTTGTTTTTGCTTTTGCACCCTTTTTACTGTTTTGTGCTAGCTTGTGGCGTACCCAAGCCTGTTAACACCTAGGCCAAATTGAGTGGCAGCCACCGTACGTACACGTGTGCCTTCCAGTGATGGAAGCCCAGAGCCACATGATGTGGCAAGGAGGAGACCGCAGCGGGTAGAATTGTGATTGGTTTGCCAAATGCGCAAGTGGATCAGCAGGAGGCGTTTGCTTAGGTTTTGGATTTTAGACCTTGGTCAGGAGTTCGGTGTGACTTCGGGTGACGTCGGGACCTTTCCTTTTCAATTTCCCTTTCCCTGTTCCTTTTTCCTCTCTCTCTCTCTCATTCTTGATACTCGAACACCAATGAAGCAGGCTCCGCGATCAGAATGCCTCAGTGCGGAGATGGCCGGATATGACACCGCAAGATCAATCAGCGTTGGCTGACAAGCCACATGGCGGCAGAAGAGCTTCAAGCTTGCAAAGCCACAACAGTGTTTGACCGGTTAGACATTCCCCTCGGTCTCAAAGTTGTTTTACTGCAGGAGTTTCCAGCCGGCTTGTGCGTTCCTGGGCATCTATCTAAAACAGGCTCCCACATGGCATCAACGAATGCTCACACCAAATGAGCATCTCTGAAAGCACCGTGTTTTATCACAATGGATCTAATTACAAAGGCTAGATGAGCATGGCTGCCAACACCGAGCTCCAAAATCGCCAAGTGTGGGCACTCAGGCCACACTGAGCCAAACTTCACAACTTCTCCCAAGAGACCCGGCTGACCTCCATTCAAATTGGCATTGGGTAAGAAAAGGATGCAAAACTGCTCCGTAAGTCTCATCCTTAATTTTGAACCCAGCTACTAAATGAAAACGAAAGGCTCACGTGGAAGCACATCGGCCTTACCCTTGTCATCCAAGGATACGCAAACCACGAAATGAGATCCAGGCGTTGCCTCGACAAAAGAACTAAGGTGACGGGGGAAACCTTCTAGAGACTAAACCTAGAACACAAAGAGGTATATTCACGGAAAATTCGGTGCAATCCGTTTAAGATTTGTAACTTATACAAATATGTCAAATATATACAATCTATGTATATGTGGATATATGTATATGTACACAAGACGCTGCAGCAGCTGAACTTCGTCTTGAAACTGCAAGCTTCACAAACCTTCACAGACCAGTTGCACCACTGCACTGGTGACGCTGTCTTCATTTCCAAAGGTGCTCAAATCTGAATCAACATCTTCCACAAAGCCCCTGATGTTGCTGATGCCATGCTCGTGCCTCTTCAGACTCAACCTTGCCGATTTGCCAACTCCTGTGCTGCATCTAGCTTCGCCACATGTCTTGGTTGATATTGACCACACGCAAAAACGTGTGTGCGTGGCTGAATGAAGTGGATGCGCGAGCACCAGAATCTGCTAGAACTATATATATATGAATGTATAGGACATTGGAACTCAAACTCAAGCCTGGCAAAAACCTTCAGCTTCGGCAATCTTCCAGCTGAATATAACAAGCACAAGATTCAGTCTTTGCACCCAGTTCTTGAGGTGCTGGCCTATCATGACCACCAGTGTCAGGCCCGCAAATCTGCACAGGCATTTGCATGCAAGCGAATTGAACAAGTCATGAATCAAGCGAGCAAATGCTATGAGAGAGATTTGGATAAGCTGGAGCTTCAAAGCTGCAGCACTGTAGATGATCAAGATATATCGAGATAGATCAAGGCAACTCGTCGATTGCATGAAATCTCCTGGACACCTTCTCTCAGGCAGTGGCATCTCCAGCACTCTATGGGTGTGGTGCCAAGACTTACCATCCCTGAGTGACCCTGCTCACCTGTTTAGGTTGGTTTCATGTTGTAAAACGTGCCAGGCCAACGGTGTATTTGTCATCAGCGCCTGCCTGGAGAAATTTGGCTCGACTGATGGTATTGTATGGTATTGTGGGTGTAAAATCAAATATATCAGCTCCTCCTCAATGCTGGGGTAAACGACTTTATCCCAGCCTCAAGGATCAAAGCAGTACAGCAATTACAAACAGGCAACCAGTAACTAGCAAAGCTGAGGACCTCAGCTCAGCCCGGGCCAAACCAACATTTCGCTGGATGTGCCGAGGTGGGTGCTACCATTCTGTAGGAGCTGGAAGCAGTCCCAGCCTAGAATTACCCAGAAGGAAGGTGCAGCACCCGTCGTGGCATTATCTGAGTTTGGCTCCGTCATCACCAACTTCCATGGGGAAAACGAAGAGTCCATCCTCCCACCTTAGACTCACACGAGGCATCAGCTGCCTCAAGTTTGCTTTGTTTGACCTTGAGGGGGCCACATGGGGAACAGTTGTGAGGGGAATCCAAATGTGTGGCTTAACAAACACGGATTCAACGATGTAGCGGACAAAGCACACAAAAAATGACGACCTGGGTTTGGCACTCCATTTCATCTGGAACGAATCCATTCCAGCCTGAGGTGGGAGTTGGGCTGCACAGCTCATGCCCAGCTATTCGCACCGCTACGTGGCTGGGTCCGCTCGCACCGGGAGAAATGTTTGTGGTAATGTTGCAGTATCTGTGGTGTGCGCAGTAGTATAATATACTATCGTTGCAAGCACTGGTGGTGGCTAGGTTCTTGTGACAAACTGCTCTTCAAAAGATGCTCTGAGTGCTATTTATCGTTTAACAAAAACATAGATTTCCATCATCCCGGCTCTGCCTGGCTATAATGCCGGCTCTACCTGGCTAATACGAACCCCTAGCCAGCTAGAGACGTACCGTGAAGCCGCTGGTATTTCTTAATGCCGGTTGTACCTGGCTAAGTTTCACAAAAGATAACGTGTTGTTTTGAACTTGTTCAAGAACGCCTCAAAAATGTGCGCGTATCAAAGTTTTGATCAAATGCCGTTGTTTATGCCGTTTTCTGCACTCGATATTCAACCTTCAAAAACTCAGGTTTCTCGCCCGATAAAGGGGCCCCGCCAGCTAAAGCTGAAATCTTGCAATTGACTATGCCATATCTGAGCCCTTGACTGCCAGCGATTGAAAGCGTGAAGGGCGGCTTCTTGTCTGATGGCCACACCCTGTCATTTTGGGGTGTTACTTAAACTCAAACCTCTTTGGGTCGCCTGGAGTGGCAATTCGGTGCCCCTCGCTACTCCCTGAACTCCAAGCATGGACATTGAAGCAGATCCTGTATGTTACACATCTGGATTCTTTCTCGGTTCAACCTTGAAATCACATCGCAACATAGGACAATGGGGATGGATGATGGTATTGAACACCTTATGATGCAACAAAATGCAACAAGAACCCGTCCATGCATTAGGCATACTTTGGAATCCCAAGAGTGTCGGTGAGACCCTGGCTGCGCAATCCCTTTCACATTGTCGAACGTGTCCTCAAGGAAACATCGATTACAGTAATTGGTGTTGGAAATGCAGCCTCCAACTTCTTATGCATGTGGGAAGAACTCTGGCAAATGCGCATTTGTGTGGAGGAGTGTGGTGATACTATCGCAGCCCACAGTATTGAGGGATGTGCTGATTGCATGCCTTAGTCAGTATTTACCTCCCTGAGTGTGTGATGACCCATGTCTCATTCAAATTATATGCCCGTGATTTGTGGCGAACGCACGGGGATGATTCCACCGCAAATACATGTTCCGCTTGCCGTTATTACCATAAAATACGGTAAATATATCGATACGTAAATTGGCCCTGACTAGAAATCATCAAAGTGTTTCCACAAGACGTGATCGTGCAAACAAATAGGCGGACCACTGTACATGACTCAATGACCAAAGTCCAAAGAGTGGCTCACATGCACTCGTATGTATACAATGGCGGTGCCAAATCAAAAGCATCTTGAATCTTGACTTTGCTGTGCCCTCTCCTTGCCACTCATGCCGTTTGCTTTTCCATTCGGGTATCCGCCATCATGACCTCCGTCAAGGCCGTTGGGAACCTGGGTAAAAGCTGGCAGTGGAGTGCTGCAACGACAACTCGCTGGGAACCAAGTCCAACGGCGAGCCTGTTCCTTACTCGCTCGTGCACACGCCTGAGCGACAGCACGATAATGCTCAAAACGAGATCACCTCAAGGACATGATTTATTGAACCAATAGCATGTAGGTTGGAGGCCATCGCTATTGGGTTAAGATTCATTCATTAACTGTGTCAAGCGACTTTGGAGAGTCCACGCCATGTCCTGGTGAGCAGGAAGTGCCCCCATCGTGATTTCACCATGTAGGTTCGCGATCCACCAGGAAACATGCCAGCCGTTCTCTGGAGGAGATCTGAGACCAAGAAGACCTGAAGCCGGTTTAGTGGCGAAATAGATGCAAATGGATCATGCATCTACAGAACAAAAGCTTCCTCAGGCTTTGGCAGTTGATCTCTTCTGCCAACTCGTTAAACTCCGGCTGCTCAACCTCAGCACAAACGCTATGTCACTGCCGCCGCAGCATCAATGGACAAGCTAATGTTGGGGGATAAGCTGGGGTAAGCCGCCAAAACCAAAAAAAAATTAGAGCATCACCGGGATGAGCCAACTACTTGTATCATTTGGGTGCGGAGCGTATGGGCCCATTGCTGCCATCATCTTGTAGACTCCAGCCTGCAATGTGTCCAGAAGCAGCTCCTACATTTCACAAGACATGTTGAGACACAACGCGGGAAAAAGTCTGAGAGGCGTACTCTGGAGCCCTCGAAGCCGTACTTGGGCAAAACGACACTCTGCACCTGCTGTACAAAAAGCAGACTTGGCGATGGGGACAAAAGCTCAATCTCCAACAACCACGTGGCCTCTAGCATGAGCTCTTGCCTTTTCCGAGCCTTACTTAACTTGCACATGCTCCGCTCTGACCTATCAGGCCTCTATGGCGTATGGCTACATATGCCACAGCTGCGATGCTTAAGGCGCAGGCAAGCTCACCTGGTCCATCCGCTTTTCTCTCTATCTCTTGTAGCCTGTCCTGTCAACGTTTTGAGGGCACCAGTGGCGACATTAGACTCTTGCCAATGCTGACTTCCCAAATGGTTGCCACACTCGAGCGACCTTTTGCGAATGGCCCTTGTATGTAGCAAAGGACCTCCCCCGGACAATTTCTGCCCACCCTAAGTAAAATCAAAGGTATATGCACATTAAATGAATACACAAATGTATCTGTATGAATATATATATATATACTACATTAAATGAGTAACTAAATAATAACAATAGTAAAAATATTACTATAACTTTTATATATACATATGTTTTATACGACCCGATGGTGCAAGTTGCTTTCCGCGTGTTTCTTCCATGTTGCTCCGCACTACTGCTCTTCCAAACCTGGAACTTGGGCTCTGCAAAGCGATCACCTGGCTATGGCCGTAGTGCGGAGGGTTCCGAAGCTGAAGGACCCCCAAAAGAGCAAGCGGGACGGAGCTCCCGCTGCAGGCCTCGCACAATAAATGTCGAAGGAAAGCAAAGCACTGCTCAGCTGCCGAGGAAAGCTCCTGTGACCTCCTCGTAGGTAATTGTTGGGTCCTCAACAGGCTTTGGCAACAACCCCTATGAGCATTGGTCATCAGATTCCCCTTACCAGTAAATTTGGAACAAAACTCTTCTGGACGCAACGCGCTTCCTCATCCAGCTCTTCATCGCTACTTGCCGCCTCAGCCAGCTGAATCTGCAAGTAGCACCCAAGTCAACACAGCACTCGGCCGAGATACTGCTTGGGCCTGACGAAGCTTCAGGGAGCTCAAACAAGTGGCAGTGGCGTCGGAAGCAGCTGAACAGCTCGCCTTGTGAGCAATTAAGCCTCTGCTGCCCAAGCTGCCAAGAGTGCTAAAGCCTCTAATGCCACCCAGGCCTTGGCATCGCACACTAAACAATGTGACTTCATGCCATTGTGAGGGGCACAAAGAGAGTAAAGCTGATATAACATGCACCACTTCGTGCTCAAGTTCGATCCAATTCTTTCACGCCAATTTGACAAGGGCATGGCCGCCAAAGGTGCCAAAGCCACTTCCTGGAACCTGGTCTGCTGAGAAGCTGTGTTTGGCTTCTGGGTCCGTCTACTAATAGGGCCATGGCCAAAGGGGGCGGCTCCTCAGGATCACACCAGGTTGGGAGAGCTTCACGAGTCTAGTTTGTTTGTTTTGTGGTGCCTTTTGGCTTCTTGGCTTCAATTGTAGAAGTTCTGTCTAAAATACATGTATATACATGTTTACTTTATTTAAACACATTGACATATGTATATATATGTATATAATATATATATACATGTCCACTGGGGTCGAAGCGTATGTATGTGACCAATGGGTGTACATCAACATCGGCAAACATATGCAGCCGGGAGTGTGGGTCTGCAACATTGATTGAGCCATTGACGCTTTACATACTCTCACCGCTCACCCTCACCTTCCGCATCCTGAGCTCACCACATCGTCGTCGCCCGCATGCACGTTTCGGGAGGGGCGCGGCTTTACTCTGCCAAAGCTGTCTTCGACCATGTCTTCTTCGCCTCATTTGGAACAATGATGAAATGGTGACCCCATCCGTGCACTACAATGAAATCTCCAAAGGCTCCTGCACCAAAATGTTATCGTCTCATGGGCACGAACTTTTGTGCAGCTTCCAGCCCAAGAGCTTAAACCCGATGTTAGCTCTGCGCGCCCATACGCGAGATTACGCGAGCCCGGCTCTTTAGGTCAAAGGCCTGCAAATGCCAATGTCCAAGCCCTTGAAGACGCGTGGTTGAAGTGCGCTATTGCATGACCACAGCTGTCAAAAGTTTGACGTGTGCACGAGTCAGAAGAAGGGCCGATTTTCGGGGACGTCTCCATCACGGTGACAGTAGCATCACAGTTTCTCCTGGTTCGACGGTCGCGGAAGCCGTGCAGAGGAGTCCAGCATTCTCTGAGGCTGGAATCATTAAGCAGGCTCACGGCGTGCAAGCAAGACCGTCAAGCATGCGTTCAAGCTGTCTCCAACACTGTTGGCTCTCCCCAGGAATTTGCTCAAAGGCCGCGACAGTTTCTGAGTGATTATGGAATTTGAGCTGGGCTGATCTGGGGCAGCGACATCAGCTGCATCCACCACCTGGCATTTCCACTCCAACGCGCTGCTTTGCACATGGGCTGCAGACAGTAGAAAGCCCTCGGTGAGCTCCCTAAAGTCATTGTCACACGCATGGTCCATTGACTGCTGGAGCTTTAAAATGCTGCCGGTTGCATGTTCAAAACTTCGGTAGATTTGGTCCAGAACTGATATCGCATCTGCAGCTGAAGCAGTGCCACTTCGAAAGCGCGCGTCCAAAGCACAAATTGCACTCCGCGTCCGTGACCAAGACAATGGCTCGAGTTGAGCGTCTTGTCGTTCTGGAGTACGTGCTACTGATGTGAGCCATGATGCGTTGGAAGTCTGATGCAGAACACTGAAGCAACCAGCTTGGACTGCCTGTACTATTGCCGCTTCACTCGAAAGCCTTCTCGAGATTTCCGAAGCTAACAAGTTGGCATTGGCAGCTGCCAACTCAAGCGCCATGTTCGTCTCCTCGGCCGAGGCGTGTCCAATACGCAAAAAGCTGCCCCTCGACGCAAACACTTGGCGCGCAGAATCATCATAAAGTAACTCATTGATTATGGTAAGCACTTTCAGGCGCGTCGGTAAGTCAGGGCTGTCCAGCAGTGCCTCCATTGTGTCCGCAACTTGAGCTAGCTCAGAGGCATCACTAGTCGCCCTGTCATAAAGTTCAGTAACCAAGGGAAAGTCAAGTCTTTTGCCGGGCTTCAGCACTTCCGAGAGAAGTGTTATGGCGGAAACAGCCTCAGTTGCCGCGCGTGCTTCAACAGCAGCCTTCAACCTTGCAACAAAAATGCGCCTTTGTCCGGAAATTCTGGATGCAGAGTCTTGAAAATATTGCAACTTTGCCTTGCCCCTGTCTAATGCATCAACAACTTTTGTTGGATCTGGCCAGGGTCTTTTCCATGAAATGTCTGGCAACATCAATCCAAAGGCAACTGATTCACACTTCTTGGCCAATTCCTTTGCCAAAGTCAGAGCCTGTCGAGTCTCACCATGCACGTGGAACAAGGTGTCAGCATCCGTATCCTCAAGGCACCAGATTTCCTCGTGAAGGCGACCAAAAGTCTTCACCAGCTCAAGCATAGCAGCCTGCTGTGAAATCAAAAGCATGGCAACGATGCCAAGCCCTTCGATAGGATCTTGCCTAAAGCTCAGGCTGGACCAAACATTGTGCCGTTGCTCCAATTCCTGCTCGAGGCTGTTGCGGCTCCCACGGCCCCAAAAATGTGCGATTCTTTCTGACAAAGTTTGAGGCGCTGACAGAAGAAGAAAATCGGGGTGGGCTTTAATGTGAGCAATCACATGTGCAAGGGCAGCTTCGATGCTTCCTGCGTCTTCACTGGAGAAAGGAGGAACATATTGACCACAAATTTGTGTGGCTTCAGGGATTTGGAAAGTAAGCTCGTCATCATCTAGCTTCTCTACCAAATAGTCCAGGCCCGCAGTTCGAAGACTAATCCATCCATGCAGGTGTGCCAGTTGCGTTTGCACACGAGCTCGCCTCCGACCAACTTCACCACTATCAATGTCCAGAATCTCAAGCAACGTGCCAGCTTGAAACTCGCAAATCCATTGGCTGGTCAAAAACTTCCCAGTTCTCAAGGTCGCTGGGCTGATTACCCTGCAAACATCGCCGCGCTGCACATGATCCATGATGGACAGCATGCAGGATGCATAATAGGGTGTAGTATGTCAGATTGACAAACAGCAGTCAAAAACATAACGACCAGTATATATATATATACTGTATATCTATATATATATATGTATTTTTATATATATATATGTGTGTGTATATATATGTTGTATATTGAATATTGACTGCTTGGCCAGTCTAGTATCTGCTTACCGTATAGGCTTGATCACGGGCAGGCCGGCACAAGGACAAAACTTTGCTTGTCTTATATAGTCTTGCGATCGTGCAATGCCAGCACAACACAGACACAAATAATCGAGATATGCAGACGCTAAAGTAGGAGTCAGGCTGACGGTGACCAAGCTGGTGGCCTTTGCTTGTTGAGTCACTGCACGGATCCGAACAAAGGGCTGTTGGTCAACAACTACAAAAATGCAAGCTCTATTATAGATCATTTATAGCACATAGTTTGCGTGTTGCATATCTACACATTTGGTACACAGCTATACATATATATATATATATATCACATCAAGTTTCTGCAAACGAACTGTTTGAACTCCCAAGGCATGGCATCGTCACAAATGGCAGCTCGCCAACACAATTGCACTCGGATCAAAGCAGCTTTGTCAAAGTGAACCCCGACAACGGTGAGTTGCCTGCAGAGTGTGGCCAGTGACCAAGCACCAAAATCAGTTCTGAAGATCAGATTGCGATCCCAACGTAAGATGATTCCGTCCCACAGCCGGTAAGCTATCCTTTTCTGGCCTGGTCTCGTCGACGAACTCGTCGTCTCGATAAGCAGAATATTCCCCTCCACCTTTCCGGACCTGAGCCAAGGCACAGCAAAACAGCAGGAAATATATTTTAAACAAAACAATGGGGTTCTTTTCAGCCCGCTCTTACTTGATTAAGTAGGCGCCTACTTAATCAAGTAAGTAAGGGAGAAGTAAACTACTAGCAATAGGAAGCCTCTAGTGACTGGACTAATGATGTGGTTCCTGGATTTTTTGGGAAAGTTGACGATGGGCAGAAAAGAGATTTTGATAGGGGCCCCTTGTAAGCCTTTTTCACGAAGCGGTGTTTTTTCCCCTAGTCCTAGCATTGTTTTCTTTCTATTCTTGCCTTCCCACCACCCGTGCTGCAATGCTCATGATCTCACTACCCCGGCCTAGCAAGAAGAATGCTTCTTTGAAAAAACACTATATACAGTATAGCCCTATAATGCTGTATATATAGCTTTCAAAGTTCAAGGAAGAACACAGCAACAAAGAGTTCCAGAGTCGTTGGCCAAATGAATGGCACGAGGGTCGCAGTCCAAATGCCTCCGATCGAATGGATCAAAACAAGAAACCTTCATGATTCATGCGTCATGTTTCGTGATCCTCGCGAGTGCCGCTTTCAGGTGGCAAAACCTGGACAGCATGGCAACGTCCAAGTATTGTGAAGAGGTTTGGACGGTATTTAACTTACTCAAAGGATTGCCATTCGCGAATTTTTCAACTACCTGAGGTACTGGAGAGGCCCTGAGAAATCAAAGGTGAAGCAGTGCCGCATTGCCCAAAAACAGACTGTGAGACCCGTACTTTGCAAACTCGGGAGTGCGGATTCGAAGCTCACCCTCAGCTGCAGAGGCGATGAAAGAAGCTTTCTAGTTATATATGCCATTGAAGAAAATCCAGACCAAAAAAACAGCAAGCCGGTATCTAGCATCCCCGGCTGGCTGTGTTGGGTGGCAAGCTAGAACCTCCACAACCTTGGCCAAGGGCCAAGGTGTATTCATGTGTGATGTTGGATGATTCCGTCTGTGTGTGTGTGATTGTCTGTGCACATCAGGCTTAAAATCTGTTGTATGAGTCCAATGTTTTGTCTTTGCCATTGTCTTGCGTATTTTCGCTGCGACCAACTCAGACTGGGGTCCTCACCATTCGGCCCACGAACCGTGGCTGCCCAGCTTGTGTTTGAGTTCACATGTGCACATGGAAACGGCATTGGAAAGTGTTCTCAAAAGGCGGCCGCAACTTTGCGAAGTCTATCTTGGCAGCTCCAAAACCCTCAGGCGGTGCAGCTAGTGCTACCTTTTGAAGCAACACGAGTTACGCAACGTTCAGTGGCATTGTTCTCACAAAGTAGTACGAACTCTGCTTCTTGGTGCGGCCCGCGCAAACAGGATAGTCACTAGCGGCGCTAACTTGAAAGCATCTGGGGACTCCTCGGCTTGGCTTCGGGGTATAAAAAGCATATAACTATTTTGAGAGTGCCCTGTATCTCAACTAACGTGCAGACTTTGAGAACTTTGACTTCAGCAGGCCGTGAGGTCCTCGTAAGGTACCGGTCGTTTTTTCGAACTCGGCCCTACATTAGTTCAGCGATGCAGCAATTGCATCGTGTTGGGCTGAGTTGGCCTGCTTTCAAGACCAACTGTAGGGGCCAAACTGCACCGGCTGCATCTCGTGGCTGTCGGTGCCCTTTGGCCCTTCAAAAACGCGCCCACCTACAGACATGTACCACACGGCATCACTTCAACAGATTCTTTGCAAGTTCACACCAGAGCTATCCAGAGCTAAAGAAGGGATATTGTAACATGAACACGTTCTATTAAGCTCAATGTGTGCAAGTGTTGGTTCCGCCCTCTGCGTGTCCACCGGATGTGTTTTAAGTTGTTCATGTGGCAATTTTGAGACACTCTGCAGGTCCAAACGAAATATTTGAACAAGCTCTGCTGCTCAATTAGAACTGATGAGTTGAAGTTGCTGATGTTTGGAAAGACCTGGCTGTACTGCGACTCTTCCAAGCCCATCCACTGCCAACATGAAATTTTGAAAGGGATACTTGGGTATCAACCGGCCACGGCCAGCATGCTGCTCGGCCCAGGAAGCAATGAGTCAGGGAAGGAGTTGCCACCCTGTATGCCTCCACCAATGACCACGTAATTTCCACCCGAAGCACGATCTGGACCTGATCCGCTATTATTGGGGCCCATGTACGGGCAAAGTCGGAATGTGTCATCGCGAAGTTTTTAACTCTGCGACAAACTTCTTGATACCGTGATTGACTTCGACAAATCTGCGCGCCAAATCTCTCTCCAAACTCTTGCGATTGTCAAATTAAGCCACCGCTCTGAACAAAAAACACGTCTCTCTCAACTTTCCTCTCCACTGCTCGGCGGTCATGCCACGCGCGCAACAGGAGCTCAGGCTGGTCTCTATGTTTCGACATGCCTGGGATTAACCCGCATATCGCTTTCCGCATCTTTGCCTCTCCTGATACTCACTACCAGGTTAGTTGGTGTAAGCCAGCCTGCCCCCCTACCGTTGCTGCCAGTCTGCTTGCAGTGACCAATAGTGACCACAGTTCCCGCCTACGGCCTACGAACCTTGCCAGCACCAATCTCAATTTCGCATTGGTTTAGTGTGGTTAACAGTGGTGTACTGCAAACTTGGCCCGGGCTCCAATTGGATTCATTATTGACGTTTCTGTTTGGAACTGTGATGCGCGCACTGTCAACGCCTCTCAATCTAGTGTTTCCTCAGTCTCCTGGACTCTTGCTTTCCTCTAGGCGAGCCTGCTGGCAGGCGAGCCATCCCCCAATCCACATAAGAGGCAACTCTGTCGATGCACATCTGCAAAGCAAGTCCTCACTTACATCACATCTAGTAGCCCCAAACTGACCCATAGGTCGAAGTCCAGCCTAGATGGCGCGTCAGCTATGTTGGAGTACGTAGGAACTCTGCTGAAGTACGGGCGGCAATTTATCCGCGCCTCTAGCAACGTACCTTTAAAAGTCATTTGTTTGCCCCAGTATGCATCAGCCCGGCCAGCGACCCACAAGCGGCGGGGAGCCTCGTTGTCCAAGAAGACAACAACACACCTATTCGCCAGGCATTGTTTCCAAACAGTCAAAGCTATCAGGCGGGGAAGAACTTCAGCTTCAAAGTTCAATTGTCTTTTCCGGCCACCGCTCCAGTGGTTGGCGACTACGTCCGGGAGCATCACGCCGAAGCATGAAATACCTTTCCCCCCGGTGGTCCAGCAGCACGCCACCAACGGAGGTGAAGGGCATTGGCTCACAAGCCCCATCCAAAAACAAGAAGAGGGGTAGCTGATCGTCCACCCGTACTTCGCGCGGAGGGTTTTCACAGACACGTTTCCTCGTCCAATGCAAAGCGAGCCGCACGTCTGTTGTCAGAGGGCGCGTTGTCTGCATCGTAAGGCTTGGCTGCGCTACAACTCCTAATGCGCACTTGCTCTGTCGACCGGTCATTGGAGAGTCGGCAAAGAGCAGCCGTGATCTCAAGGAAGAGGACAGAGAGGGCGCCATACAATCTGCCTTGAGGGTCTCATCAATTCTGGCAGCTAGCTCCTCTGTTGCTGATTCGAAAAGAACCTTGTCCTACATTGCTCAAATCGAATTCCACTCCCAGCGCTTGGAAACAGTACGCAAAGGGTTTGTCTTTCTCTTCGCCAGTCGATAACTCCCACCCCAGAGCCGCAAACAGCACTTTGCGAATTTTCTGGGCGGGACAAGGAAATAAAGTCGTCGCAAAAACTAGACCAACAAATTGAGGGGCCACCAACGCCAAATTGAGCGCAGATGACAATCTCAAAAAAGCTGCCACTGACGCTGTAGCCCCAAAAGGAAGCACAGGCGTGTTGCACTGAGATCCCTCAATAGACATCCAGTATTTAATCATTGCTGCGCACTCATCAATCGCACTCATCAATATGTAACATTCGTGGCATCTGAGTTTTAGTTCACGGTAACTGGGTTGTAGATTTGCTGCTCCCACCCTATCTCCCACCACATGTATCGCGTTCCTGAGTGCTCGATTCCTAAACACGCCAAATCATTCCCGCACTGTTGCCTGCTCTCTGGAATGGTCAGTCGGGACCTTGTAATGTGTTGGGGAGTTGTCTGTCTCATCTGCCCCACGGCAAACACGGTTGGCGCCACGGCACTTCCATAGCGCAAACATGTGCGTCCCTCCAATGAAACACCTTACCAATTGTAGCGTCTAAAATGCGGCATTTGCTTGCCCAGTCATGTATTTTATATGTCCTGTCTAGCATACATGTCAGAAGACCATTGCATCTGGCACATGCTGCCAGATATCTATATTATATAGTACAACTTCAATATTTCACCAAGGCACTGGACTGAACTCCACCAGGACGGATCCACACCTCACACCGACCAGATGTGTGAAACTCGATGCCCTTGCATTCTTCGGTTTCCACACATAGGCCTTTGCAACCCTCAAGGTCACTAGCAGGAAGGACCGTGAAGTACTCTGCTTTGTTGTCACCTGGTGATGCACCACGACAGGCACGGTTCAACCCACCATCCACAGGGATGAAGGTCTCGGCTGAAATAGTTTCCGGAGTCCGTCAGTTACATTAAAACATACTTAAACAAGCTTGAGCAGCCTGTGGAAATCTTGCAAGCTTCCCATTTGCCGTCAAATTTCTAATTTACATCCAGGGCCTAGTTTCAGCCTCTTGACCAATTCTTCTGAGCAATGGAGACTTCTGGATCAAGCCCAGCCCGCCGTCTGTCGCGCACGCTGGTGAAGCCGCGCTTCGATGGCAGCGCACGCCATGGGCCAGTGAATTTCGACTTTGTGTTGAACGTGTCGGATGAGCAGAAAGCTGCAATGTGAACGCCAAACAGCCCCCTTGGTAGAAACCACTGTAAATTCACATGGTTTTCACTTTGGAATATACAAAGATGGACTACTGATCAGGAGTTGCATCCCAATGCCCACGCGGTTTGGATTCCTGAGGTATGCCTCTGTCTGCACCAGCTCTGACAGGCTGGCCTTCTCACACAGGCGCTTGATGCGTTTGTTCACGCACGCCCTGTCCAAGACTGTGTCTTCGACCATTGCCCGAGCACTCACAAAAAGAGAAGTGAGCCAAATAGACAGCGGAATGACTCTCCCATACATGGTTGAATTCATCTTGGTTCAGACCTGCGAGATACCTGTACCAGCTTTTTTATTGGGCGGCAGAACTTGGTTTCATGAGAGGTGAACCAGTAAACCAGCATACAGTAACAACATGTAGCAACTCAAGAACAAGTCTGTAAATTGGTTTTGGTGAAGTGCTGTTGATCCTATCCCCCAAGGCCACGCCATCACGATGCGACTTTACACAAGTTGATGCGACTTAAGTCTACCCCCTAGTAGAAGGACCTGTGACTGTGAGATTATGATGATCTGATGGCAGCCATCTTTCCTTTCGACTCTTGCCAGCTATTGCAACTTAAATAGCGGGCACGACAAATCAAAGGGTGCAAACTAGAAGCATGTTGTTGGCACCCTGCAGTTTCTGCAGGGGACCCACACACTTTGTCTCAGTGTCGTGCCATTCTGGTGATGCACAACGACACTAGTCACTAGATGTCACTAGCGTACTAAATGTGACTAGATGTGACTAGTGTATGTCCGCGGCGCTTTCCCGCCTGAAACTGGCGACAACCAACAAGCCCTGGACCGATTGGTCTCATCACATCTACTGCCCTCTGACATGATCAAGAATGCAGTCAAGCGCAAGGGCTGGGACGATTCGTCACAGAACTTGGTCGTCGAGTCGTGGAAATGCAAGAGACCTGCAATATGGTGCCACTGACGGTGCTGGCTTTATGCTTTCATCATGGAGATGGCTTTGTCCCCGCAGCCTTCCAGCATCTCAAGAACAAAGGGGGCTTGTTGAACCCCTCCCAGCTCACAAATACGGAGGGCGGAGCCAAGGCAAATCACATCTGGCTTCAGGTCAGATTCGCCTAGCTCCTTCAACAAACTCACACTAATCTCCCATGTTGCAGTTGCATCTGCAAAAAGGGATGATGCAAGGTTTCCATATGTCAGCTCGTCAGCACGATGTCTCCATGTTCGAAGAGAGCTCAGGACTGCTGCACATTGCTGCCATCGTCCGGCGCGTTCACACGCTGTTGACAATGCATTGGCCATGATGAGGTTCGGTGGCCAAAGTCCATCAAATCGGCACATGGAACTAACTTGAGCTCTTTTGCATTCCGAGGTCTGATGGATGGCCATTCTCCACATGGAACTCTCGTGTTTGCAGGCGGCCAGCACCGACGAAACTGCTACAAGGCTTGGTCGCAATCCAACTTGCAAGGCTTCTGTGAAAAGGCCTAAGGCTTCTGCCCAGCGTTCGACATTCTCAACGGCGCACATAGCTGCCCCAAAGCTCACCATGGTTGGGTGGATCACATCTCGCATGTCTCTCAGCAAAGCTAGGCATTCCGCCCAAAGAAAAGAGGTGGCACATGCGCTGAGGGCAGCATTGAAACACACAACGCTTAGCTGCAAGTGATTCCTGTGCATTCGCTGTAGCTCTTGAAGAGCCCACTCGCCACCTCTTGCTGAGACTGAGGCGGCGCTGATTGCAGCTCCGCTGGCCACTACGTTGGGAATGGGGCCATGTTCCAGCATGCCTGAGAACACACGCAAAGCATTTTGCCACCGTTTGCCAACGTCACAGGCATGCAAAACCGAGCTGCAGCTTACCACGTCCTGCTGCAATTTGACCAAAGATAGCTGGTGCAAGGTGTTCATCCCCAACCACCACATGCTGCCTCTAGCACTTGCTGCTAGACAGGAGTTCCATGCGTGCATCGATCTTTCAAGTGCGATTGGCGTGTCATGCACGCGTTCAGGCTCAGGTGTCTTAGGCTTCAAGGCACTTGAAAGAATGTGAAAGGCAAAATTCCAAATACTGCATGACTCACATGCACTGATTGCCGTGCTCAGCATATATGTATCATGTCGGATGCTTTCATCGGCCGCTCGCTCCAGAAACGAGAGGACAGGGCGCCACGTCATGCCAGTCCCAAACGCCTTCAGAAGGGTTGTGGAAGCGATGGTGTCAACTTCAACCAGGTGCCGAGCCATCACTTGTAGCCTAGGCTGGGTTTCAAGCTGCAAACCAGGCGTCTTAGCATGGAGGCTTGTCAAATCGTCTAAATCCAGGCATGGCATGTTTACCAGTAGGATACAATAAGACAATAAGACAAATGATTGAAAAGAGTAAATGCGGCCTCAAGACCCTTCTCGAACCGACTCTGTACTTGCAGCATCTTGCAGCCACAAAAATAACGACCGGCACCGCCCGTTCCACCTAGAGTAGTTTAATATACCTTTCCGTGCTAAAACAAGGAGAACTCAGGTTCTGGCTGGAGTGACCCTCGTGAAAATACTTTCGATTCAGGCAACTCACTGCGCTTCGCAACAGCTATCATACAATTATCATGTCTGTCCTTCTCGCAGCACATGGTATCAAATACCTCTTCCCGTCACTTGGGTCAGTGCTTCAAGTTTCTGCGCAACCCACACGGGTTCCAGGATGAAACACTACATTGCTAGTGGAAGGTGCCAAACACCATAGTTCAAAGGAACTCATGATTCAGGCAATGCAGTGGACGCCAACAAATAACCAAGGCACAACGACACAGCTGCAGGCCAATGACCTGGCTGATGGAATTTAAACAAGCTGCAATGCCTGAGCAACTATCAAAATGCATCAAGTTCCACCAAGTTTGCACCGAGGTGTGCTTTCCGTGCAGCCGAACTACCCTTGCAAGCCGTGAAGGCCGCATTGAACGCAATCACGTCCAGTCCTCAATAGGCAGGGCAGGCCGCCCGGAGCCTAGTTCAAAAGAGCTGTGTTTCGCCCCTCCTCGGGGAGGTGTGTGCGTGTGTACCCCTTGGAGTCATAGGGACCTTTTTGGATTGGAGAACTTGCCTTTTGCTTTTTGCGTTTGTTCCTTCAATGTTCACAGCAGGGGGGCAACCTCGTGAGCATAGCTGGCTGCCCAACGAAGAGGGCTATGCCACGACTGATATGGAGTCTGACCAACTCCACGTACCTGCTCTTTTGAACTGTTGACCAAGCTGCGACTTTCATTTTCTTTCAAGGGCTAGTCCATTCTGCAGACACGCGCGGCCGCCGTCATCTCGCCCTGTCCTCGCTTCGATATCTCACGGTTGGACCTTTGGCCTCCTAACGATTAGAGATGCTCAGGCCCCCTCTTGTCCTTTCAGGATTTGGTTTCCTTAGGTTGCCGCGTGGCGAGCGGCATTCACATCCGTACGCATTTCTATATATATATATATATGTGTGTGTGTGTGTGACACACTCTGTTTCCAAGAGTGTTTCAACACGCAGAGGGAACAGGCCCAGCGTGGATACCTGTCGATGGGGGATGCGGAGGTTGATCACCTCCGTGTACCTGCTGAGTTTTCCACAAGCTGTGACCCTAATTTTTTCATTTTTGCTTCCATGGTGGTTCCATGATACTCCCCACAAACCCTTTTCTCACCGCTGATGTGCAGCCGCGCTGATCGTTCTGCAGTCACGCAAAACAACTTGTTCAACCTTTCAAGTGAACTGACTCTCTCGCCATGCTGTTCCCTCACCATTTTCAACCTGGGAATTGAGTTAACTGAAAACCCAATATCAATCTGTGTGCCGCTGTGCCGTCCCACGTGGGTGCACAGTGTGATCCCCGTCACTGGGGCGCTGCTTTCATGCCGGACTACCACTAACTGACTTTACCGCTTTCTGCACTCGTTGGATTATCTTAACGGATTTTCGTTTCACTACTGTATTCTCAAAACCAAAGCCGCCGGGCTTCACGGAAATTCACAGCCGCCGGGCTTGTCTAATTAGGGTAACCGAGGGAAATGGTACTCGACACACTTGTGTGTCGGTGCCTTTCCCTCTGTTGTCCCTTTCTGGTCTACTCTACCCGGGCGGTGTAAGACTAAAGTCCCGCTCCCTAACTATTGCACCTAATTCACTTCTCCTAAGTAGTCAGTAGCTCTAGAGTGCTAGGTAGTCATACACACACACGGACACACACGTTACATACATCCCCTCCCTGCCCCCCCACTTTCTTTCTTGCACTTTTCGTCGTTTGTTCTTTTGGGCTTTCTCTCGGGCTTTTTAGGTAATTCTTGAGGCTCTTTTCCCTACCCCAGTCAAGGGCTAAGTATTCACCTTTCGCTACTCCTATCTTTCTCTCCTGCCCTTTTAGCGCTGCTCTTTCTGTGCTTCTTTCTTTCTTTTCTTAGGCTTTTTAGGTACCTATTTAGGCTTTTACGCCGGAGCGCCGCAAAGCGGCTGAGTGTGTGTGTCACACTCTCTTTCCAAGAGTTTTTCAACACGCAGGGGGCACAGGCCCATCGTGGATACCTGTGCCAACGAAGCTGTTCCACGATGGGGGATGCGGAGATTGATCACCTCCGTGTACCTGCTGAGTTTTCCACAAGCTGTGACCCTAATGTTTCCTCCTCTGCCCCCATGGTGGTTCCATGATACTCCCCACAAACCCTTTTCCCACCGCTGATGTGCAGCCACGCTGATCGTTCTGCAGTCACGCAAAACAACTTGTTCAACCTTTCAAGTGAACTGACTCTCTCGCCATGCTGTTCCCTCACCATTTTCGACCTGGGAATTGAGTTAACTGAAAACCCAATATCAAAGTGTGTATGTGTGGGGGGGGTACCCTAACGGTGACTCTGCAGCTGAACACTGCTTGATGGAATGATGAGCTTCCTGAAAGGCTCCCCCATGGAGCAAAGCTATTCAAATTACAGTAATTTTATTGCCGCTGAATGCAGTCCTTCAGGTGCTGCCAAGATTGTGGCCTGCAGAGACGCATGGAGTATGGCTTTGAATGATTGCACGTGCAACTGGTGGGCGCAAAAACTGAGGAGGCGACCACTGATTGCTCCCATGCATATTGCTTGGCCAAAGTTGAAGCATGAGCCTAAGTGTTTGAAGTTCACATCGGCAAAGAGCTTGGTTTTGTCTCACGGTTTGGTGCGCGGGTAGGCCGTGAAGATTGAGCAAGGAAGCTACTACATGCTAGGAAGCACTCTCTGCTCAGGCTGCTTCAAGGAAGCCCTTGCATGATTGATTCGGTTCCTAAACCTTTAGGGAAACTTATGTAAGACTGGCCATCCAGCACTGGCGATCCAGCCAAGATGCTGTTCTCTTTCTGAGCTGGGCATCTCCCTGTTTCCATCGAGCCATGCCTCAACCCACTGGCTCTCGTCAAATAGCGTCCACATTTGCCTCCAAAATTTGGAGACCATGCTTAAAAAGCACTCCTTGGAATTAGCACCACCATGACGGCCGCTCTGCCACTTGACCTAACGGTGCCACAGCATCGAAAGGTGGCTCCCCAGCTGTGAGCGGCAAAAAATCATAGGGACAGATCCGACACAAAGCGGCAAATTGAAATTATCTTAGCAGGCTTGACACACCACACATGACTTTGTCCATCATTTGACTCTAGCCCGCTGTGCCCACCCCTCCGTCTCAAGCATGTCTGCAGCAAAGGTCTCACTCGGACTTTGCCCAAGCACTCTACCTTTACGGCGAGAGTAACGGGCAACAAAGCCATTTACTCCCATGCCCTGCATCCACTCAGCAAGACAATGGATATCTGCAAGTTGCGCACTTTGGCGTACATTGCGAAAAATGCCCTGCTTGTACAGGAGCATTGTTTCTGTGTACAGGCGATTAGGATTCACAAGCAGTGCTGAAAATAGACTAGCCCACGCAAAGCTGTCAATGAAGTCATCCCCATATGACTGCGCTCCTGTCAACAAGGCCAGAGCATGTTGCCATCTCTTTGCCGTAGCTACTGCTTTCATTGCTGTTGCATAGCAAGAAGCCATGCTGGCGTTTCGTGCCCTACTTGGTGGCACTATATGCATAAGAAGGTTCAAAGCTTGCTCCCACTGTGAGCAACCTTCGCAGGCAACTATTGCAGCGCCAAAGCCAACAGTATCTGGGATTGCTTGCTTGCGAGAGGCCTGCACCAGAAGTTCAAGGGCGGCTTTCCAATGCCTTCCCTTCTCATATGCACTGATCGCGGAGGTCATTCCCAAAATGTCAAGACGCATGTGAGACGCATGTGCCTTGGAGAAGGCAGACAGTGCTTGCTGCCAACAACTTGCTCTCGAAAGAGCTGCCATTAAGGTGCTCATGCCAACAATGTCTGGAAGCACACTTCGCTCAAGCATTGCAAGAAGTAGTTTGCTCGCTCTCAGCCACTGAAGTCCTCTCCCACATGCATCAATAGCAGCGTTGAAGCAAACCTGGTCAGGTGTCAGATCAGCCAGTGTGTCACATTCACATAGCAGGAGCAAGGCTCGCTGCCACTGCGAAAGTTTCCCGAACATTGAAATCAAAGTACCATAGGAGATGACATCTCGTGGAGGAAGTGTGGCAGGATTTCCATGGCTGCATCCCATGCTCTGGCAGCGTTTCATATCGCTGAATAAGTGTAGGGACCAGTCCCACCGGCGACTCTTGCCACAAATTGAAATGGTTGCATTTGCAATCTTTTGCAGGATGTCCTTATCATGAACCGCCAAGCTCTGCGATAAGTGCAGCAGTTTGTGTTGCCACTTGACCATACTGCCTTGATAAGCAAGACAATGGCGCGGGTCACAAGACCAGCATTGTTTGTGCTTGTCCAGTTTTCTACCATTGCTCGCAGTGAAGTTGCGTGCTACAAGCACATCATGTACAACAAGCTCGGGCCACGGGGGGCTGCAGGGCTGCACATGCCACCAGGTGCACCATCAAAAAATGTTTCACCAGCACCCTCTGTCTATCTGAATCTGCCCCTCTCTCTCTCTATCTCTCTACCTCTCTCTCTCTCTCTCTGTTGGAAACTGGTTCTTTAACATATCCTCAGCTCGACGAACAAGCCGGCAAAACAAAAAGCAAACTTGTGCAACGTTGGGACCATAGCATGCCATACACGCCGCGGACCGTACAAGCCTTTTCTCTCGCATGGTCTTAGTGTTTGTCTGGTGCTGTGTCGCGTGCACTAGTTTCACCAACTTAACTGCCTCTACCGCCTGCAAATCCACTTGTTCGGGTCCATTTTGACCCATCTGGGAAAAGTATGCCATCTCCATCCCATTTCGCCACCACCTTGCTTGGACCTGGCAGTCCAGACTTGGACAAATCTATAGTGAGCTCGTTGGACTCCTTGCCGTCGGAGTACAGCTTTGCTTCCCAAAACTGCAGAGTGTCACCTCTAGAGCAACCCCCCTTCTTCGATTCAGTTTTTTCTCGTGCCAGCTCAAATGCAGTAAGGCCTGGCAGGTGGCACAGTTGAACCACCCAAAACTCAAAAGAAACTAGTGTCCAAACGAAACGAATGCGCAAATGCAAAGCCTTCAAATTCCACAGTGTACATTGCCGCCTGGATTTACTCCAGTGGACTCAGCTCCCATGAGCCGTCCCTTTGTCCCGTCAAAGTTCATAACGATTTCACGGCGGCATCCAGGCGAGTCAGGGTCAGCCCATTTGCCAGCCCATTTGGAGGGCGCACTTTTGGCTGCATGAGCTTGTGCTGGAAATAAGCCAGCCGAAGCCAGGACAAGAAGGGCTCTCCTCTGGGTCTGTTGACCTGCCACTCAGTTGAGGCATCAGACTAACCAGTATAGCATTGCCATGCAGTGATTTTCACATTTATATAGATGACAGTAGCTTCAGCCTGGATTAGCTGAGATGAAGGCATCCATGTCCATGCTATTCAGGGTGGAAAGTACCAGGACGAAGCCAGCCAGTAAAAGCCGAACCCTTCGCATCCGAGACATTGCCAGTACTATTCCTCACCTCAGGTTGACGCGGCCAATGCTTTGGGCTTGGGCCTGCATTTGGCAGCCACCGCTTCTTGAACAAAGTCTGACACGAACCCAATATATAGTAGATTAGAAATATGTGTATATATATATATATACACATGTATATGTATATGTATAAGTATCTACAGTGTTTACACTGAAACTGAAACTGTTCGATGGAGTGCTGACAGACAAGCAAACGCAAACAGGATCAAAAACTAAACTTTGCGATTCTCAGGTGCAAACAAGTCTCCTGGTGGGAGCAGTTGGACCACCCAAAGCTTGCTTGAGCCGCGCTACCCCCAACAATCTATCCACTTTCTGAGGTGACTTTATGCAAAGGTGGAGCAAACACAATATATACGTCCAATGGCATTTCAAACACATGCAAGGGTCTCACCTTTTGCAATGCGATTGCTCCGAATGCAGGAGCTGGGCTGCTCTAGGGCGCTTGGCTCCAACAGCAGCTACTCCAAGCGCATGGCACAATGTAATTAAAACGCTGCTTGGCAAACTGACGCGGCGAGTACTATATAGCAGCGTCAAATCTGCAGCTTGATCAACAAAACCGCCAAAGGCCAAAGTGATGAGTCAAAACCAAGCAAGGATGATCAATAGGCAAATACAAAACCTCGCTCACTGAAAAGCTCGAAGTTCTTTCAGGTATGTCAGCGGGGTTCGGGACACTGAAGCCAGCAAACGCACAAGCAAAGCTTCATTGCTTACTTGACCGCAAGTCAATACAAAGCTGGTGAAATATGGCGCTCCAACTCCCCGCCGCTCAGCGCCCATTAAATTCCTTACTCCAACGCCTTGCTCTGGAATATCACTCAGCCGACTCAACAGTTGCAAAGCCTCCTCCCATCGGTGGAGCATGGCCAAGGAGCTGCAAAGAGAGCTGAGTCTGAGACTCCAGCGACTCCAGCAGTTGCGATTGTTCAGTGATTGTTGTGATGTCATTGGTCGACTATCCGGTCTTTGTGCCATTGAAGCTTGCGTGAACCACTCATGGTTCATGTGCAAAATTGTGCGCCAACCTTTCCCAATGGCAACACTGACATCAGTGTGAAATGCATTGGTGCCCTCCACTCCAGCTGATTGCATGTGAGATATCAAATCCAAAAGCACGCCCCAGTTGTCGCACATACCAGATGCAGCGACCACGGCTGTGTATACCACATCATTCAAAGAAGGCTCTACCACCTTCTTGGCTGAAATAGTGAGAAGCTGCAGCGGCACTGTCCAAGTCATACCTTTTCCACAAGCCGTCTGCGCTGCAGAAAGCATGAATTCGTTTGCTGTAATGCCTCCATTACCAGCTACATTCAATAAAGCCAGCGCTAAGTCCCACTCGGCCAATATGCAGGAGAGTGCTGCTCCATAGCTGTAGTGATCTCTGCGAAGGTTAAGGGTCTCCATGAATTCGAGCAAAGAGACACAGTGCCCCCAAGGTGCACTTGAGGCAATGGCCGCATTGAGGCACACCGCATCCAGTTTGCTTTTATCCAGCAGGTGACCCAGTACGTGAACTGATTGGGCCCAAGCCGCTCTGCACAATGAAGTTCCAAGGTTTGGGCTAATGTAAGGCCGAATGCGCTGGCGGAATGCGTTGAGCCCACGTCGCCATTGGTCTCCAAGTGACGAAATCACGCTCGTACAAAATGCAGTGTCCTGTTTAATTGTGGAGCACGACGACCACTCAAGCAATACCAGTACTTCCTTCCAGGTGTCGCAAGACTCAATAAGAGCGCTGACAGCTTCTTTGCCTGGAGTCAAGCGATTTGTGTCGAAACACTCCAGCAGTCGTAGAGATAGCTTCCACTCCATTGCAGCTTTTGCCGATGTCAGAACAGCAGTGCTGCTTACAGCATCTAATTCAAGTTCCTGCAAGAACATTTCAAACATTAGCTGCTGACACTGCCGCCATGAGCTTCGGCAGGATGACATCAGGGTATTGAAGCTTGCGGTGTCCATCTTTTCATGGGCGTCATCATGATTGATGCACCTGCCTCCTTGCAAAGCTTGCATCCACCTTCCCTGATACACATTTAATCCAATATTTTGGCTGGTTGTGTCCAACTTGATCTTTGACAAACGCATCTCCGCCTGCGTTGCAGTTGCTAAACGCCATTCTTTGGAGCCACTTGAGCATGTCCCGCAAGTGCTCATGAAACTGCTGTGGCAAAATGTGTTTGTGCGCAAGCTCAATACCAGCATATACCGCAGCAGGCTCTGTGACCTCCGCCAGAGCCGAGACTTGCCGGAAGAGCTCAGTAGAGTACAAATTGTTCTTTCGTCAACTTGTAGCTTTCGCTGCAGCGCCTCTGTGAACGTGCCAAGTGCTGATGCCCAGAAAAAGCGCCTCGCTTTGACAAGAGTATTCACGCTCACAACGTCCAAAGAGCCCTGTCCAAACAGCCGCCTCCGCTTGAATAACTGCACGGCTAAAGGCCACTTGCCAAAGCTGGCCGCGCATGAGGCTAGGTGTAGGTTGAAGTTATAAGTGTTGACGCTGCAATCGAGATCATAGATCATGCACACTCAGAACCACAGTGCGACTTGAAACCTGGTTTGACGTATTCATGGCCCGCGTTGAAGCTGCACGGCAACCGTGCGCATGATCAAGTGACACAGGCCAGCACTTGAGCAACAATTTGCCGAGCATAAACACATAAGCACATCACCCGTGTGGCAATGGCAATGAACAGTTCGCATACAAATGGATATGCACTCACGGAATTGCCGGTCAGAATGTGAACGATATTCGGAGGCTTAACATGGCTTAATTATTAAAATAGTTTGAAGACTTTGACAGTGAGCAAAACTTGCGTGGTCTAAGGATCTTTTTCACAAGCTGCAAAGCAAGCTGAGCGACTCACTATTGAAACAGGAACTATCGAAGTTAGGTGAAGAACTAAGCAAAAAGTCTTCTGCAATCTGCTTACCACGGAATCCTTTCGCTTGCTTCAGCCTGCAGCCCCGCAATTGCAGTCAGTTTGGAGTGTCTCGCTATCGAGATTCTTCAGCTTGCATTGAGAGCAGGGATCTGTTCATTGTCTGTGTTGTGAAGTGTTACTGTTTCAGTACATTAACCTTTGATGCCCAAAGTAGACTAGAAAAACAGAGCTCTATGGCCCTACGACATGCTTTCCTGCCTCAAGAAGAATAAGGCGACACACCAACCTTCGGCGCGCAGGATATTCAACTCTCAATGCCTGATCGAATGACATGCTGGCTGCCCTACTTACTGCAGTATTCCGTCACCTTCGGGTAGTCATTGGGTCGGCCACCACCAAAAGCCACCGATGCGGCTTTCACCATCTGCTGAACAAAGTCAGAGTCCTGTTTAGACATCAAAAACGACAGTTGGACATCCAGCAAGCTTGGCACAAAAAGCCAAAAAGCGGAGAAGCAGGACAAACAGTCCTTGATTCCTTGAAGTGCCTGAAGTTGTGCTCTCAAGCTGCCACTGCGACTCAGGAAATTGTTCAGCCAAGCGAGGGTGCCTGGTGGAGGGTTCTCACATGTATGCCTCAGAAATGTGAAGAAAGCGCTAACCTTTCACGTGTGCTGGTACAACTTAAATTTGCCTAAAATCTAGGAACCAAATGAATAGTGCGAGCGCTTCCTTGAAGAAGCGTGAGCTATCCTGCGTCCATACTCGTAGCTTAAGTAAGGTACTAGCTACCTAGCTTCTACTAGCTACCTCTAGCCACTACCTCCCTCTAGCGGCCTACCCCCCTTTTTAGAAAACAAAAAAATGTCTCAAGGAAGGCGTTGACAATTCCAAACGTGTTCAACGGAATAGGCTCCCGGTTTCGACCGCTTCCTCCCCATTTTATGCCGCCCTCTCCTGCCTGCATTCTCGGGCGAATAGGCCTGAATGAATTGGCCACTCAAACTGCTATACAGCATCGCAAATTCTATGTCTATGTGTATTGCTAGTGCTTGTGGGAAGCAAGTATGAATGAATCTGGATTCTCAGAATGATGTCGCCTGACAACACACACCAGTGCGTGCTGTTTGACACTTTAAACACCTATATATTAGTAATTAGACCACACTGGATTTGTTACTGTAAGACATGTTGAGACCAGGTGACTGTTTTCTGGACTGTCTCAATCTCCTTAACTGTGGTCACGATCTTCTTCTCATCGTCTGCAAGTTTCTGGTCCAACTTCAACAGCCTCGAATGGGGGAGCATTGAAGGAGCACAGCAACCGCACGCATAAAGCTCAAATGATTGGTGCAGAGGGGCGCATCCACGGAACATCCTTCTTCGAGGCAATCAAAAATGGCCGTCATGCACCCTTCATCGCACTCCAAAACTGGTGCGGGAGGAGGCGGTGCCTCACCACGGATTTTGCATCGTGTGTGGCATCATTTACATGTGCATCATGTTGCAATAAGATTTTCCGGACTCCACGGCAAGTCTCTGATTGGTTTGTGGCAACTCGACACTGATGGCCTCCGTTTCGGAGATCTCGGCTCCCACGTTCAGTTTGCCAGATTGATAAGCTGCTTGGCGTGCAATCCTCCCAAATTTTTCTACTAGTAGCAAGGACGCTGCTAGGGGCTCCTGGCATCGCTACTAGTAACAAGAAGCCACTAGGGGCTCCTGGCCGTACTACTAGGAGCAAGGATGCTACTAGGGGCGACATCCTAACTGCAGCAACATCCCTTCCTCGAAGGGCTGCTGAAGGCCACAGAAACCATGTGCCAACCGCCTTGCAAAAAGGGAATGCAACACACACTCGTATGATGGTGCACAAGTGCATAATCTTGTAAGGACTGGAAAGTAGCATCAAAGCAACATCACCACAAAGACTATCATGTGCATATTCCGGCACCATACACGTGGTCAAAGAAGTAAGCTTGTTGGAGCCTTTTACACAAAGCCATGTACAAACTGCCCTCCTATGGTCACAGGATTTAGCCCCAAGTGCGGTGCAGAAAAAGCAGCGATAATCAAACATGTGAAGCGGTGCTAAACATGGACACCAAATGCACACTGCTCTGCAGAGTTATGGTATGGACCCCAATCTGCCTACCAAGGACGCAAGTTCGCTCAAGCTTCGCCCCTCCCGCAAACAACAAGACATTGAGTGCAGCCTAGGGCAAGGCAAAGAACGCATGTTGCTCGCAGGCCCATTGAAGAGGTCATGACACCTCGATATGGCAATTGTGCCTGGTGTCAACACCCTTTGCAGTAAATGTGCATTGAGTCTGCGGCTCCAAATCACTGTCCTGCCCAGAACTATGGCGTCGAGGCTTTGATCCAGGCTGCAGGTCCAGCACAGTTTCTCAGAGTGACTCATGCAAAATATTAAGCATGCTAGTGTGTCAAAACTGTGGGAATCACGTCGCAGCCGTGCTGATTTGCCACCGGGGTGGAACAGTGTAATTATGTTGTGTATGTGTAGAGAGAGAGAGAGGGGGAGAGAGAGAGAGAGAGATTGGCACATGCCAGCGGTGAATCCTACTTTCTGGGCATCAGATTTCATGGCGCGCGATCGCGGGGGCCACGCATTGGTAAGTGAGCAATTGGGTTCAATTTGCTGCCAGCACAGTGCTGCGCAATCCTTTGGGTAAAATAGATTCTGAGCAGCTGTTGGCGCTTGCAGTTCACGTGGACATGAGATGCACCACTGCATGCTACTATGGCCCACTGTGCATTTTTCGGCACCGGATCCGCCACATCTAGTATCTAGTTGCTGCGGAAGCTTGCAAGGTATGGGTTTGCTGGCTTCAAATGCATATGGCATAGCCGCTGAACTCAACGGTGCAGTGCAGTGAAAATTGAGTGGTTTCAGAACACATGCCGCTTGATTCGCCCAAATAGCAAGACCCAGGTCACACCGCAAAAGGTGCATGACGACTACCCCTTGCTACCTGCAGGGAACCTGCTCGCAGCACGGGAGATGCCAAGCAAAGCAGTGATGAATCCAGCAAAGCAGCAATCAGCACGAGAGATGACAGGTTGTGAAAAAGCAGGAGCGGTGATTTCAAGCAGATAGGCTGTCGCACACGGCGCAGTGGGATCGCAACAATAAAATCAGCACAGTCATAAGAAGGCGGAGATTTACACTCTATACTATAGTTTTTGTAGGAGGTTCGAGAGAAGGGCACAACACCTCCACTAGCCGCGATGCCCTGGAGACCTAGTAACTCAACCTACAGGTTGCTTTGCTTGCATCTCATTGCAGCACTCCCCAGTCATCTTTAGAATGACATCGCTTGCATCACATGAATGTTGCCGGGAAAATTGCAAGGCAAGATCCTGGAAGATTCTGGAGATCCTTTTATGTTTTGTACAAAAATCCTTCATCTAGAGCACGGGACCAACAAATCAATCAAAACTTAGACGTTTGATTTTTGCCCACGCAGGTGGATTCTTGTGGGAGGTCAATCCAAGCCACCCAAATCAATCCAGAGAATGAAATAATTACAGTAAAACTTTTGTCGCCTGTCCCTCCTTCCCTTCCTTCCCTTTCCTCTATTCTTGGGGAGGGTGCGTGCCCCTTTTAACACTGCGACACCAATGTCCAAACAGGACGCCATCCCAGCTCTGATTGAGAGAGTATCCCAGCTGGAGACGCTTCACTCACTCAGGCACATCACGCCGTCATCACGCCTCGTGCCATGCAGCAAATCAAGAATCAAACACCTCTCATGGTTAGCACTCGCCAAGGGAAGTGCTGAGCCACCAATATCTGGAACTGCTTCACCATCATTTGATTCAGCTTCAGCTTCTTCCTTGAAAAGTTGGAGCTTGGATGAGCTTGGTCAGTTCCCTTACGCAACTGTTTGCGCTATCTTCTAGGCGTCTGTGTGGAAAGCCTGAACATGTACAAATTTGGAGCAATGGCCGCCTTCTCCTCTGACTTGGATGGTGACAGTTCAACACCTTTGCGCCCCAACTCTCTCCTGCATCGCGATCAACACCACTTCCACGGAAGACAGCTTTGCGATTCAATTTGCACAAGATAAAGAACGAGTCAAAGTCAAATGTGATGGAAGCTGTCCACACCATGTCTTGGAGCAAGGGTCCTGACAATGAACTTCCTGACTTCATCTGCCAAGATAATGACGAACCTTCGAAAGTCAGGTCGGGCCAGCAAAACTCAATTATATATATATGTATATATAATTGTTATTTGCCAGTAGCCGCTCAAATGTGACATCCTGTCGGTTCCTATTTATTGGATCAACGCTCTTGTCACCAAGTTATTGGATCCGGAGAGCAATGCACATGACCCAGAGACCAACTGCAGCTTGCTCAAAGATCGTGTCCCAAAGACATACCTTAAAAGATTGCGACCAGGCAAAGAACTAACACAGAGCAACCCACAACTCAATTCGTTTCATATCTTGCCTGAAAACGCATAGGCCTAGGCTGGCTAGGCACTGAAAGTATGGGTGGTAAATTATTGCAAGAGCACAGCCAAACTCAAGGACCTTGGTTAGTCAGCACGAAGCAGGATGCAAGAAGCCACGGCTACAATCAAAACAATGCCGGTTGTTTCGCACGGCTAAGATCCGCACAATGAATAGGTTCAGCCAATTGTTGGGAATGGCATATGTTGCCTGCAAGGCGACAGCCTAAAGCTCCTGCCAACGTAAAGTGCCCAACGCAGCTCTGGCACAAGCGACATCGAGGTGGTAGTGGCTGCCTGAGCATGGAAAGCTCAAAGCACATCCCGCGTGGCACTCTATCTGCGAAGGTGGGCCAAGCTACAAAGGCTGCTCCGACTTGTCCACATACAAGCGCCTCAATGAAACATTCACGGAATGCAACATATGAATACTCAAAGAATGGTTGGCATGCACCAAGTGCAGGCAGGCCACCCAGTAGTACATGGTTGTGCCGGCTTGAATGGCAACCTTCTCGCTCAAACTGTAAATCACGGGCACCTCCTTCTTGTCAAGCAACGCCCACATCCCCGGCATGCAAAAGAAGCATAGCCAGCAGCAAAATGATTGTATTACCCCAATATACGCGAAGGAATACAGCAACATCCCACTATTCACAATAGCATCCTTTCTTGGGTGGCGTGGCATTTTCTTCATCAGTGAAGTTTCCGGTGGTTGCGCTGCATAGGCTACAGCTGTCCAAATGTCTGTACCAATATCTATCAGGATCACCTGCACAGTAGTTAAGGCAACTGGAATGCCAAGTAGCTGTGCAAATGTTGGAAGGGCTTGAGGCACTTTAGAGCACATCGTGTACAGAACAGACTTCCTAAGGTTCTCGGCGCAAAGGCGCCCTTGCTCCATGCCAGCGGCGACACTCTTCAAGTCGTCATCTAGAAGAACAATGTCAGCAGCCTCTTTCGCTACCTCAGTGCCCCGGATGCCCATCGCGATGCCAACTTCCGCCTCCTTGAGAGCAGGAGCATCATTGACACCGTCTCCGGTCATTGCAACAATTTGTCCGGCGAAGTGCTGGTACGCTTGGACAATTGATTGCTTGTCCAAAGGGGACACCCTTGCAAAAACACGGGTCTTCTTGACACATTTCTGCCAAAACTCTGCACACTCTGGTGCCAAGTCATGATTCTGAGCTATGTCCAGAAGCGTCCAACCATCAGGCGGCGTCCCTTCTCTGGCGATCATCGCACCTGTAACCGCAGCCAGGTCATCGTCAGAGCCGCGGCCAAGAATGCCAATCCGCCGAGCTATGGCTTTCGCTGTGCTTGGGTGGTCGCCCGTCACCATGATGGTTTGGCAACCAGCATCCTGCAAACTTGCAATGGATTCCTTGACACCATCCTTTGGAGGATCCTCGATGGCGAAGACGCCAAGAAATGTATACCCGCAGAGAGGGAAGTTTGCATCCTGTGGGCTAGATCCCTGGAACTCAAACCCAGGTGGAGCAGAAAAGTCACACTCAGCCACGCAAAGCACCCTCTTTCCGTGGCTCATGAACTCCTCGTAGCAGCCAGTAATCTCTTCCACCTGCTCACTTGACAGGCTACAGCAACTGACAACAAACTCTGGGGCACCTTTGACAAGGAGCCTCACTGGGCTCGAGTCAGGGCTGGACGCAGAGCTGCCTCCAGCTTGAGCATCATGCGCTGTTAGCATCCACTTGGTGGCACTGCTGAAGGGAATTTCGTAGATCTGGGGTGTTGCTCTTCGCACCTCTTCCAGAGGCCTTCCCACAATCAAGTTGCAGGCTGAAACAATGGCAACCTCAGTCGGCGAGCCAAGAAACTCCAGGCTCTGCACATGTTGCTTGGCATTTGAGTTGAGAAGTCCACCCTGCGCAAGCTTCTGCAAGGTCTCATCCGACTCTTCCTGAGCTGCTTGGATCGACAATTTCTTGAGGCTGGAGCTCCTTGGGTCCATGACAGCCAAATCTGTCATTGTCATCTTCCCTGAGGTCAAAGTTCCAGTCTTGTCGCTGCACAAGACACTCACACACCCCAACGTCTCGACAGCATCAATTTTTCGCACGAGAACCTTCCTTTTGGCCATCTGTCGTGAGGATATCATCAAGGAAAACGTCACTGTTGGCATCAAACCTTCGGGGACAAAACAGAAAAAGGCAGTTGAAGAGTTCAGGAGGACCTTCTCCATGCTCAGCTTTTGTGGTGACAGAAGGTTTGCAACAAGGGACAGCAGTCCCGTGCAAGTGGCGGTTACAGCAATCAAATGCACAAAGTGCTCAATCTGAACCTCCAGAGATGACCGTGGCCGTGCAAGTTGGACACCTTTTGCAATTTTTCCGAGTAGTGTTGAATCGCCAACAGCAAAGACCACTCCAAGAAGGCGACCCTCCACAACGCTCGTTCCTGAAAAAAGGACATTGTTGGACTCAACTAGTGCAACGACGGGCTGGTCATGTTCGTCCACACCAACCGGCTCAGATTTCCTGGGTTCAGCGATTGACTCACCTGTGAGCGCAGAATTGTCAACAAGAACAGTATCGGTCATTGCCAGGATACGTATGTCTGCTGGTACTCGCTGGCCAGCTTCCAGCAAGACCACGTCACCTGGCAAAAGCTCCTCAGGCGAAATGTTCTCAAGACTGCCCTGTCGGCAAACTGCCACACTCTCCAGGGACTGCATTTGTTGTAGGGAGTTCATCATCGATTCAGCCTGCTGCTCAGTCCACCACTGCAAAGCCCCTGCCATTGTTATTACGGTTGCTAGGATGGCAGGTGTCACCAAATCAGATTCATCTGCTCCCATGAAGGATGCCAATGCAACCTCAACAGTGACACAAAACCACAGCAAAGTGTTGAACACACCGCCAAAGACCTGCTTCATCAAGAGCCAAACAGCACTAGGCTTGATTGGCGGCGTCATCTTGTTCAATCCAAATCTTTTAAGATTTCTTTCCTTCGCATCAGGTGATAAGCCAAATTGGCCAGGCCAGTTGGTCAAGGCCACATTCTCTAGTGTGGAATTGAGTTCCTCGCTTAAAGCCTGGGAGTCCATGGTGTGGAACCATCCACGGCTTCGAGGCGACGCCTCATTCGGAAGAGACGAATCCGTTGTTGGTGGTGTCTGCTTCGTCTGCGCTTCCTTTTGGCTCCCACTCCGTGCACTCCAATGCTCCGCTGCAGAGACCAAAAGAACGCAAGCCACGATGATCAGGCAAATGGCACCTCCGATCAATTCACCAAAGGGATTTGTCGGTCCATCTTTGGCTTGCTTTAGTTTGTCTGTAACATCTTCTACTACTTCTTTCTTAGCGTCCGCAATTTGCTCTTCAGCATCTTTTTTCAATTCCTGAACCTCAGGAAGCACATCATCCTTCTCAGGCTCGGTCACCAATTGTGCAAAAGCATCTTTCCGTACGCGCCGCCCGTGGCGGTGCCCACTCATTGAAGCAGCACGCTGGTGCCTGCTTTCACTGCTTTCTGATCTTTCTGTGATCGACTCTGTTGACTGCTCTTCTCTAATTGCCGATGAGCGCTCACGATGCTCAGCCTGCCCTGCTTGCCTGCGCAAGAGGTATGACATGTGACGGAGTCGGGAAGCTGAAGCATCCCGGCGAAAGCTCTCGCTGCTTCTGGTCAGGCACAAAAAGCCAAAGAAGAGCAGCCGCATGAGCCACATGGAAATATGAAATGTCCCAAGTTGGGACGTGAATCCTGCTGAATAAAACTCACCTTGAACCAATGTCACGGCCAAAAGAATCAGCTTGGTTGAAAAGCCAAAACACTCGAACATGCGTGCGAACTGGCAGCAATAGCTTCAAATTTTCCTCCCTTCGGCTGACCAGTTTTGTCAGCTGCAGGCAGCAATCCGATTAGAGGTGGTGTGGGCTACTCCACTCCGCACGATGCGTTGTGCACCCGGTGGGCCAGCTGGCCTTTGGCCAGCCACAAGTAGTTTGATCTAGCTGCTGTCACCTTTCACCCGTTTTGGGCGGGAGGCTGCATAGTTCCAGGCTAGGCTTGGCCTTGAGTAGCCAGGGCAGACTCTGCAGCCAGAATCAAGCCCGATGTGTCCGCATGTTGAAGTGCCTCTTTTTCCTGGGTCGGTCGATGTCAAGGACATGAGATTGATACCAATGGCAAAACAAAATGGAACTGCAACTTGGATTTGACAGATTTGTCAATTTTAGCCTGTTCCACCGTCAAATTGATATCCAAATGTGTCTTTTGGATCCAAGGATCGACCACAAGGGGCGTATGCTCCGTTTGTTCCACACCCTTGGGGAAACCTGCAGCTCTGTCTGTCCAATTTGCCAAAACACGTGAAAGCCTATTGACATGCAAAACAAGTGGTTTGCGTTGGCGATCTGCCTGGGATATGGGCATGTATTCTAGAATTGGGATGTGATTTATCCATTGAAATCCTATACCGCCCACAGCCAGCAGTAGCATCCAGCACGAAAGTGCTGATTGCCATTGATCACTTGCGTTGTTGCAATTGGAACTGGTTGCATGTTGTTCGCATTTGTTCGCAATTTGTTTGCGACCTCTTCAGTGACACATCCTCGTCAACCACCAGCATGGGCACTTAGCAGGCCCGTGCAATGGACAAGCAAGAAGAAAAATGGAGGAATAGGTATAATGATTGAAGACTGAGAGGCTTTATTCCACTGATTGAAGCACACAATGCACACAAGTTATTCTTCCCCATCAGGAGTACCTCTACAAGCCGCATGCCCACACAAACTATGGTTTTTTGAGGAAGGACCTTCGTTCAATACCTTGAAGGAGCGAAGCAAGCTATCTTTGTTCGACAGGGGCCACTCTGAGTAATGAGTTTTTCGGTGTCCAGTACAGAAATGCACTTGCTCTTGAGCAAAACTTTGTCTACGAGTTGACGTCTTCTGTGTTCCCGATCCCTGATAGTCAAGTCAAAGCTCGGACCCCACAACGGTGGGCCAGAAGTCACTCACCCACTCAGAATTCACAAGCGCGAATACCCACAAGACTGAAATGCCTACACGTGCCTTGCAGCACGGATGGCCAAGCTGAAAGCTGAGGTGTGTGTGTGTGTGTGTGCGTGTACCCCTTGGAGTCACAGGGATCCTTTTGGATTAGGGATTTCTTTGCGTTTTTCTTGCTTCAGCACGGGGCCACCGCGGCCGCTGTGCGAGAGAGCGGAACCCGCCGGTCGGAGTGGGGAACCGGCAAATCATTTGCTTGAGTGAGCTTGACCGAACGAGTCAAAAGGAAAGTCACTGCCTGCGGTTTACAAAAAACAATTCTACATTGACCATGTGCAGCCTGGATTTAGGGAAGCACTGATGATCAACTGGATGTGTCTCCGCGTGCCTCCCCTTGGGGTTTGTGTGTGTGTACCCCTTGGAGTCACAGGGCTCCTTTTGGATTGGAGATTTTTTAAGTTCTTCTTGCTTCAGCAGGGGGCCGCGGCGGCCGCTGTGCGAGAGAGAGCGGAACCGGGACCTGCTGGATCCTCCGCCTCCTTCCCTTCCGCAGCCACGCCGCGCCCCTTGCGGTGTCCCTGGATGCAACACCCAGGCACACCCCTCTCTATCTCTCCATGATGTGTCCTTGGACGCTTGCTTCGTAGCTGGGAGCACCTCTCTCTCTTCTCTCTCTCTCTCTCTCTCTCTTCTCTCTTCTTATCTTGTCGGGTGTGTCCTTCGACGCTCGATCCGTAGCTGGGAACATCATCGTTTCGTTCCTTTTCTTGCTTGGTGTGCCCTTGGACGCTGGAGTCGTAGCATCGTCTCTGTCCTTCTCTTTCTCATCACCCTTCGTGCGCCGCCGCGGCTGCCGTGCGCGAGAGAGAGAGAGAGATGTAAAGTTTGAAGTATTGTTGAACTGTTTGCGGAAATGTTCGCGCCTTTTGTTTGTATGTTGAATGTGCTCAAGGGCCCTAGTGTTGAGCCACAATGTTGAGGTATATCTCCCTCAATGTTGGGAACAGTGTCATGTTCAATTTCACACCGTCCCTCAGATCAATGTCGTGTTCAGACAGCGATCTGGCAAAAACTGACACTGTTGAGTCATCTAGTGACTTACGCACCCGTTGACTCCAGTGTTGACCCTTTGTTGAAAGGCTCAGGGGTTGTTCACACCCTCTTCCGTGATCGAGCCCGTGTTGATGTCCGGGTTGATGTTAAGTGGGCTGTGCATGTTGGTGTCCTCTTGTCCTGACCTCCATGCGTTGGAATTGGGAACGTGGCCTCATAGACCTGACATGTTCCCGTCATCGGAGTGAGTTGAACCACAGCCATGTTACCGAGGTTGAAGGCGAAGTTGACGCTTCTGGCTGTTGAGCTCTGAACGAAAGGGCGGCAAAAACGTTGAATTCAAATCACCTTCCGAAATCACATGTTGAGACTGAAAAGGGGTGACGTGCATGAAAATCATGTTGGAGCGATCGATCGGCAAAACGGTGTTGAAACCAAAAGAGAGATCACGTAATCGATGGGCTTCGTCTCTGTTGAGAGAACGGCATCGAACCATGGCATCGAAATTCTAAATGCGCACTGTTTATGTGTGTCTGCGCACTGCTCACGCTGTACACGCACGCGCACGTGACTATCAATTGCATCTCTTGTTGAGACACATTTGCTTGAAACACATTGCTCGACCTCCATGTTGGAAGTCATGCTGCATGCATGTTTGCTGACTGCTTGATCTTCATGTTGAAGATTGCTGCTGTGAAGCTGCTAGCTTCTCAATTGTGTGAGTTGTTGTTTCGGTCAATGAGACCGATGGCTTGCAGATGCCTCCTGAGTGTTTCAGGAGTCACATGCTTGGTGAAGATGTCTGCTCTGTTGTCATTGCTCCTTATCTTCACGATTGAAATGATGTTGGCCTGAACGAGTTGTTGCGCGAAGAGATACTTGATCTGGATGTGTTTTGCTTTCTTTGAGCTGCCAATGCGTGTTGCAATGGACTTTCCTGCTGATGAGTCAGTGAGAATGCGGATGTTGATCTTGAGGTTGCTGTGTAGTTCCTTGAGGAAATAGCTGAGGTGTAGTGATTCAATTGTTCCTGTTCCGATCGCGTAGAGTTCACTCTCTGCGCTACTAAGTGCTACTGATTGTTGTGTTCTGCTTCCGAATTGTACACAGGCGCCAAAGATGTAGATGGCAAACCCGGATGTTGATTTCCTTGTGACTGGATCTCCTGCCCAGTCAGCATCGACATATGCATCAACATCGATCTCCTTAAGTTCATCACTTATTTGTGCTGTTGCTTAAACTGTGAACTTGTAGTGCTTTGTTCCTTGTAGATACCTCACGACATGTATCACGCGCTTCCAATCCTGTGTGGTTGGCTTGTTGAGTGCTCTTGCAAGTTCCTTTGTTGCATAGGCCAAGTCTGGCCTTGTGTAGACAAGCCATTGAAGCTTGCCTACTACTCGTCTGTACATTCCATGTTCTTCTCTGCTGAGGTCTTGCTCATGTTCATCTGTTGCTCGTAGCGCTGCCGTCCCTGGGGCCGCTGATGGATTGCATGTCTCCATTTTTGACTTCCGTGATGATGTTGTCAACATAGTGGTTGCCAAGTGAGAGCTCAAAGTGTGTTCCATAGTGTGTGATGTTGCGCCCCAGGAATGTCACTGTCTTTCCGGCTGTTAGCTCTCCAGTTCGTCGAAGAAGAAGATGTTGTTGAATCTGCTTGAAGATCTTATTGATGGTCTCGTGTGGGCCCAGGAAGAAAAGGTCGTCTACGTAAACCATCAAGAATGTTGTTGTTGAGCAGGTGTTGCCTGGTGTCTTGAAGACGTTTGGTTCTGTTCTGAGGCGCTCCAGCTTCAACACATGTTGAAGGATGTCTGCGAGATGATCCTGCCAGGCCTTTGGTGATGATCTGAGCCCATAAAGGGCCTTGTTCAATCTCCAGACTATGCGGTCTGCAGCATTGTAGAACTCTGTTGGTGGATACATGTGTAACGCGACTCCTGTTGTCACTGCTGCAGCTGCGTGTAGAAAGGCTGCGCTGATGTCACCTGTTGTGATGCTCCGCCGGAATGTGAGTGCTAGTGCCAGAAGCCATCTGAGCACTGCAAACACAGGTGTTGAGGCATAGATGTCATCGGCGTCGTTGATGTGCTCTGTGAAGCCTTTGGCGACGACGCGACATCGAACGTCATCGCCTTTCTCCCTGTGAACCCATTTGCTCTGGATGATGGTCTGTTGTTCTTCGGGAGTGAGCTCGTCAATGTGTCGTTCTGTGAAGACCTGTTGTTGCTTCATGGAGTCGATCTCTTTCTTCATGCCAGTGATGAGCTTTTGCTTGTCGAATCCTTCTGTGTCATGGATGATTGGTTCTAGGAGGATGCGTTCTGTTGTCGCTTCCTCATCATCTTCATTTGCTGTTGCTGTAATTGTTTCTCCTTTCTTTGTTGTCACCTGAAGTGCTGAGATCCTCAGTCTTGTTGCTGGTTGTTCTGTGCTTCCTGTTGCTGAGCCGCTGATCTCGGGAGTTGATCGAACTTGCTTCGGCTCATGCTTCGTTGCTGAGGTTGTTGTTGGTGCTTCAAGGCTTCGCCTGATTGGTGAGCCGTCTCCTAGTGTTGGCATTGGTAGCGCTTGTCTCTTCTGTTGAGATGTTGGTGATGTTGCAAGGGGGACGTCCGTAATGACCCTTCTGCGCTTGTTCTCCTCTGATTCTTGTTGTTCGCTTGTGTGCTTGCTTGTGATCAGTGGTTGTGCGTCGACAGTCTGTGTCTCTGCCATTGCTGATGGCTTCGGTGCCGAAATGGCAAGTGGCATAACGCCTGTTGGAGCTGTTGAAATGGGTGTCCATGGATAAGAGTTGATGATGTCTAAGAGTTGTTTGTCGAAGTTGTCTGGAAGAACCATCCTCCGAATTGTTCGTGCTCTGACGACCCTGTTGGCAATGCCAATGATGTGTTCATTTGTTGCTGTATCCTTGCCAAGCCAGATGGCATAAGCGGTTGCTCGCAGTTGATGTCTCTGTCATAGTATTGCTTGACTTGTGCTCGAAGTGATCTGATTTGTGAGACCAGTGTTCTGTGAAATCGCTCCACTGAACCTTGTGATTGGCTGTTGTACGCTGCACTCTGTCTGACTGAGATGTTGTTTCCTAGTCGTAAAGCTGTAGCTTTCAGAAGGTTGATGAGAAATTGTTCTTGATCTGATTGTAGAACTGCGTTGGCCAGGATGGCCTGTGCCCTTCCGGACTCCATAAGGAAGTTGCACATGCAGTTGACTAAATACTCAAAAGGTTGAGTTCGATCCTGGATGAGTGTTGCCATGCTCATTCC